GACGCCGGACGAAAAGCGATCACAAAAGCTCACCCTGTCACTTTGTGACAGGTGAGCTAAAAAAAGACACACAAGTAAAAACGGAATGAATAGGATCAAAGAGAATTTACTGTTACCCATTGTTCTCCAAGTCACACAAATACCTCTGGGTTCATACGGACGGACTGATGGATGGACAGAAGGATTGAAGGACAGACAGACCGAGACTATTTCTATATCCCCTGCTGCCTTTTGGTGGGGGATAAAAACAGGCAAACATAAAAGAAGTCATATTTAAGTAAATTTTGCTTCTTTATGAAAAGAAAGTCGATGTCATCATACATCATGTTAAAAATGTAACAAAATTAGAGAAATTTAACAGAACTATATTTCAAAATTGATCTGACGTCAAAAAGGAGAATACCCGAAGTTACGCGCTAAAATCAGTAAAACAAGAACTGTTGGAGGACAGTAACGCTTGACTATTTGAAAAGTTGTCACAAGGGTGTTTCATCGAGTATAATAATGCTTACCTATATGAAAACATAAAATTGTCCGAAAAGGTACAAAGGCTTGATATTTTATCGAGTAAATCACTACTTTATTATTATGAATACATAAAATTGTCACAAAAAAGGCACAAACCCTTCAGTAGTTATGGAGATTAAAACCAGCTTACAAGCAAAACCTTTATCAAGAATTTCTAAGCGAAAAAAGGGGCATAATTACGAGAAAAAAAAAATCAAGAGTTATGGGACTCTGGCAATCTTGTAAGATAATCACAGAGAACAAGTGTGTAAAGTTTCAAACTATTCCCTTCTGAAGTAATGGAGATACCAGCTTACACGCAAAAACTTAACCAAGGATTTCTAAATAGAACAAGAACGTGTTTGTTAAACACAAATGCCCCCAGCTCAGATTCTTGTCAGTAGCAAATGTTTACCCATTCACTCAGTTATGGACAGAAAAATTGCCAAAAAATTGTAAACATAAGTTATATAGCTTTCATTTTCTAAGTGCTGAAAAGGGCAATAACTTGGTAAATATGAAAGCCAGAGTTATGTAACTTGCCCAGATCATGTACTTTGTATTGATTAGTAAGTGTATAAACTTAGAAGCCATTGGTACAGGTAGAACTTAAGAAAAATCCAACTTACCATTCTAGGTTAACCTCGTACGGACAGACAGACAGACGGACGGACAGACGGTTCAATTACTATATGCCCGGGGGCATAAAAAGGGGCATAATTATGCAAAAAAGCAAATCAGATGTTATGGTAATTATGCCAATTATGTTAGATTATCAAAGAAAAAAGTGTGTGAAGTTTCAATCCATTCCCTTCATAGTTATAAGAGATACCAGCTTACAAGCAAAAACTTAACCAAGAATTTCTAAGTCAAAAAAAGGGGCATAAATATGCAAAAAGGCATCCAGAGTTATTGGACTTGTGCCAAAACAAGTGTGTGAAGTTTCAATCCATTCCCTTCAGAAGTTATGGAGATAGCAGCTAACAGGGGCAAAAACTTAACCACAGGACACCGACGCCAACAAATGGGTGACTGCATTAGCTCAATTATTCTGTGAATAGTCGAGCTAAAAAATCCAAGCTGAAAAGGGGTATAATTTGATCAAATCCATGACAAAGTTATGGATTCTTAAGCACTGCACCTCAGGCCAATGAAAAAAGCTAACATACTAAATTGGAGTCAATCAAACTTATAGTTTTAAGTTGATATCTCAAAGGCTTTTATAGTTATGCTCTGGAACAAAAATTAAGTATGAAAAATAACAAGGGCAATAACTGAAAAATTATGCAGGGCACAGTTATCATTCTTGTGCACTGAACTCCTCCTCAATATGACCTATCAACCTATGAAGTTTCAAGTTGATACCTCAAATACTTTTTGAGATACGCTCTGGACAAAAAAATGTCAGACAGAAGTACTGACGGACAGACGGAGACTATTTCTACATCCCCACTGCCTTTCGGCGAGGGATAACAAAGGGCAATAGCTCAAAAATGATGAAGTGCACAGTTCAAGTTCTTGTGCACTGCACTTCTTCTCAATGAGATCTATCATTATATGAAGTTTCAAATCAATAGCTTTTAAAATGACTGAGGAACTGGCCTGGATAAAATTAATGTATTATAATAAATAAAGGTCAATAGCTCTAAAAATCATGAAGTACAGAGTACTGATTCTTGTGCACTGCACTTCTTCTCAATGTGATCTCTCATCCTGTGAAGTTTCAAGTCTATAGTTTTTATAGTTAAGGTGAAATGGCCAGGACAAAAATAAAGTATTATAAGTAACAAAGGGCAATAACTCAAAAATCATGGAGTACAAGTTTTTGTGCACTGCACTTTATCTCAATGAGATATATCATCCTATGAAGTTTCATGTACGCTTTTACAGTTTAGGAGAAATGGCCTGGACAAAAAAATATGAAAATTAACAAAGGGCAATTACTAAAAAAACAAGAAGTGCAGAGTACAAGTTCTTGTACACTGCACTTCTTCTTAATGAGATCTATCATCCTATGAAGTTTCAAATCCATAGCTTTCATAGTTTAGGAGAAATGGCCCAGACAAAAATAAAGTATGAAAATTAACAAAGGGCAACAACTCAAAAAATAAGAAGTGCACTCTCAGCAGAGTACCAGTTCTTCTGTGCATTGCACTTCTTTCTACATGAGATCTATTCATCCTATGAAGTTAAAAGTCCATAGCTTTTATATATTTTTTGGAGAAATGGCCCGGACAAAAATAAAGTATGACAAGAGCCATGTCAACATGGCCATCCCCCGCCGAATGTGTTTGCTCATTGGAAGAATGTATATGTACATTGTAGTAGAGCAGAATAATTCCATTTTAAGAGGTCTTTTGGTAATGAAAACTGATGGCTATAGTGATTACAGATTTGAAACCTATGTAAATACTGATGGCTGAAAATAACAAAGGGCAATAACTGAAAAATAATGCAGGGTAGGTTATCATTCTTGTGTGCTGCATCCCTCCTCAGTAAAATCTATCCACCTATGAAGTTTCAAGTTGATACCTCAAATACTTTTTGAGAAAAAAAAATTGAATTGAAAAATTAAGTATGAAAAAATAACAAAGGGCAATAAACTCAAAAATTATAAAAGGTACAGTTATCATTTTTTTGTGCAGTGCACACCTCCTGAGTGAGATCTATGCACCTATGAAGTTTCATTTTGATATCTCAAAGGCTTTTTGAGTTATGCTCTGGACAAAAATTAATTTTGAAAAATAACAAAGGGCAATAACTCAAAAATAATGCAGGGCAGAGTTATCATTCTTTAGCACTGCACTCCTCCTCAATGAGATCCATCCACCTATGAAGTTTCAAGTTGATACCTCAAATACTTTTTGAGATAAGCTCTGGACAAAATAGCATGAAAAAAAACAACAAAGGCAATAACTCAAAAATTGTATAGGGAAGAGTTATCATTCTTGCGCACAACATTCCTCCTCAATAAGATCTATCCTTCTATGACATTTCATGTTGATATCTCAAACACTTTTTGAGTTATGCTCCACTCAGGTGAAAAATTAGGTATGAAAAAATAACAAAGGCAATAACTCAAAAATTATGAAAGGAAGAGTTATCATTCTTGTGCACTGCACACCTCCTGAGTGAGATCTATGCACCTATGAAGTTTCATGTTAATATCTCATAGGCTTTTGGAGTTATGCTCTGGACAAAAATCAATTTTTGAAAAATAAACAAAGGGCAATAACTCAAAAAATCATGCAAGGTAGAGTTATCATTCTTGTGCACTGCACTCCTCCTCAATGAGGTCTATCCACCTATGAAGTTTCAAGTTGATAACTCAAATACTTTTAGAGATATGCTCCGGACAAAAATTTCGGACGGAAGGACGGACGGACGGAAGGTCGGACGGACGGAGACTATTTCTATATCCTCCGCCGAAAATTTTTGGCGGGGGATAAAAATGAACAAAGGGCAATAACTTAAATTAAGAGGTGCAGAGTAACAATTCTTGTGCACTGCACTTTGAGTCATTAAAAGAAGCATGCATACCAAGTTTGGAGTCAATCCAGCTTATAGTGACTGAGTTATGACCTAAGGGGATGCAGCCACTGACAACGCCGCCGACAAAAATAACCCCTATGTCACCTCTGTCAGGGAGACACAAAAACAGTAGGATTATGTCACCTACGTTGACAAAGTGCAGTAAAATATCTTTGTTATACAGTGTGCAGCTTCTACAGCCAATTTGATTGTTGCTGAGAGTTGTTTTCTCCTCAGATATTTTGATGACTTTCACTGCATGACTGATAATTTAAAGATATTATTGATCAACAGAAGGCCATACTGCAAAGGTTACACTGTATTATTTTGGCATGGTTCAGAACTATTTAGGGGAGATGATGTGTAAGCGGCTGGATAGCTCAGCCAGTAGAGTCGCAATACGGTATTCCAAAGGTCCCTGCACATTTTTCTCACCCTGTGACATTTGGCGCCTAACATGGGGCTGTGACTATATATAGCTCAGGGTTAATTAACATTGCTCTGTAACTCTGTGAAATTCAAGGACTAATTTCAATATAGCAGGGGAGTATGTCATGGTTCAGAACTTATAATGCACTATTTAGGGGAGATGATGTGTAAGTGGCCGGATAGCTCAGCCGGTAAAGCGGTGGTACGGTATTCCGAGGGTCCCAGGTTCGAGTCTTGGTCAGGCTGCACATTTTTCTCACCCTGTGAAACATTTTTATCAAGATGCATGCTATTTTAATCTAATTGTGCCATAGCTAAACCCCTGACTGTACCTACATTTTTGCAGACATACAAGTTTTAAGAATCACAAAAAATGATTCAAAGTCCCAAGAAGGATCCATTATGGCAAAAGATATCTTGCAGAATCTTTAACAACCAAGTCACCAAATGCATCAAACTATGTACAAATATTTACATGTAGTATTGCAGATTTGCAAAATTATTTTAACAACCAAATCATAAACTTCACTTACCAGTTCATCAACTAAATCTTTTAGTCTCTGAATTATGAATAAAGTTCTTCTGTTTTGCCTCATCTCCAACTTGCAAGATATTCTTGGTAATATTTAACATGTCAATCTGTCTTGTCTTATATCACTGGCTTTAGTTCTAATAACTGTCTTTTGTAGTTACCATCTTCTTGAAAATAAGAAACATTTTGCTATAAACCTTGTGAAGGTATAATGTGAATATGTTTACAAATTTAATTGCAAGTCATGTAACATGTAAGACAATTCTGAATTTCAACATTACAGGAATATCTTAAATTGACAATAAAGTTGGTTTTTTAATGAAAATACAAGAAAATTGAACAAATTCTAATGTTTCTCCATGAATAAACTGGGCTACTTACTTTTTAAAGCATTTGCAAAGAACTTGTTTATTTATCAATTGCACTTATTACTACATCATGTACATGTACATTTTTGTGTAACTTGACTATTACTGTGCAAGGCATTAAACTGTTATATTTTGAATGTGTGAAAAATAAGATCATGTGACCCTGTATTTTGTCACATTGTTACAGTTGGCTGAATTATGTGTGTAAATGCTGGGCTGTGAACCTTTACTCTCAATTATCAATCAATTAAACCTTGACCAGTCAAGCAATAGACAGGTATAACTGGATAAACAGATTATGGCTGTTGCAAACACACTTCTGAGAGCTTTAGCCGTTATAATACTGCTGGAACCCTGTAACTCATATGACTTTGCCATCATTATAGAGCCAGGCCAGTCTGCACAGGTCTTAAACATGAGTGCATTTAATATTGTTAATTGGTTAATTAAATTTTGATTTTCATCTTGACATCCCCAAATATGAAAGCCAGAGTTATGTAACTTGCCCAGATCATGTACTTTGTATTGATTAGTAAGTGTATAAACTTAGAAGCCATTGGTACAGGTAGAACTTAAGAAAAATCCAACTTACCATTCTAGGTTAACCTCGTACGGACAGACAGACAGACGGACGGACAGACGGTTCAATTACTATATGCCCGGGGGCATAAAAAGGGGCATAATTATGCAAAAAAGCAAATCAGAGTTATGGTAATTATGCCAATTATGTTAGATTATCAAAGAAAAAAGTGTGTGAAGTTTCAATCCATTCCCTTCATAGTTATAAGAGATACCAGCTTACAAGCAAAAACTTAACCAAGAATTTCTAAGTCAAAAAAGGGGCATAAATATGCAAAAAGGCATCCAGAGTTATTGGACTTGTGCCAAAACAAGTGTGTGAAGTTTCAATCCATTCCCTTCAGAAGTTATGGAGATAGCAGCTAACAGGCAAAAACTTAACCACAGGGACACCGACGCCAACAAATGGGTGACTGCATTAGCTCAATTATTCTGTGAATAGTCGAGCTAAAAATCCAAGCTGAAAAGGGGTATAATTTGATCAAATCCATGACAAAGTTATGGATTCTTAAGCACTGCACCTCAGGCCAATGAAAAAAGCTAACATACTAAATTTGGAGTCAATCAAACTTATAGTTTTAAGTTGATATCTCAAAGGCTTTTATAGTTATGCTCTGGACAAAAATTAAGTATGAAAAATAACAAAGGGCAATAACTGAAAAATTATGCAGGGCACAGTTATCATTCTTGTGCACTGAACTCCTCCTCAATATGACCTATCAACCTATGAAGTTTCAAGTTGATACCTCAAATACTTTTTGAGATACGCTCTGGACAAAAATGTCAGACAGAAGTACTGACGGACAGACGGAGACTATTTCTACATCCCCCACTGCCTTTCGGCGAGGGATAACAAAGGGCAATAGCTCAAAAATGATGAAGTGCACAGTTCAAGTTCTTGTGCAGTCTGCACTTCTTCTCAATGAGATCTATCATTATATGAAGTTTCAAGTCAATAGCTTTTAAAATGACTAGGAGAACTGGCCTGGATAAAATTAATGTATTATAATAAATAAAGGGCAATAGCTCTAAAAATCATGAAGTACAGAGTTCTTGTTCTTGTGCACTGCACTTCTTCTCAATGTTCTCATCCTGTGAAGTTTCAAGTCTATAGTTTTTATAGTTAAGGTGAAATGGCCAGGACAAAAATAAAGTATTATAATAAACAAAGGGCAATAACTCAAAAATCATGGAGTACAAGTTTTTGTGCACTGCACTTTATCTCAATGAGATATATCATCCTATGAAGTTTCATGTACGCTTTTATAGTTTAGGAGAAATGGCCCGGACAAAAAAAATATGAAAATTAACAAGGGCAATTACTAAAAAAACAAGAAGTGCAGAGTACAAGTTCTTGTACACTGCACTTCTTCTTAATGAGATCTATCATCCTATGAAGTTTCAAATCCATAGCTTTCATAGTTTAGGAGAAATGGCCCAGACAAAAATAAAGTATGAAAATTAACAAAGGGCAACAACTCAAAAAATAAGAAGTGCACTCTCAGCAGAGTACCAGTTCTTGTGCATTGCACTTCTTCTACATGAGATCTATCATCCTATGAAGTTAAAAGTCCATAGCTTTTATATTTTGGAGAAATGGCCCGGACAAAAATAAAGTATGACAAGAGCCATGTCAACATGGCCATCCCCCGCCGAATGTGTTTGCTCATTGGAAGAATGTATATGTACATTGTAGTAGAGCAGAATAATTCCATTTTAAGAGGTCTTTTGGTAATGAAAACTGATGGCTATAGTGATTACAGATTTGAAACCTATGTAAATACTGATGGCTGAAAATAACAAAGGGCAATAACTGAAAAATAATGCAGGGTAGGTTATCATTCTTGTGTGCTGCATCCCTCCTCAGTAAAATCTATCCACCTATGAAGTTTCAAGTTGATACCTCAAATACTTTTTGAGAAAAAAATTGAATTGAAAAATTAAGTATGAAAAATAACAAAGGGCAATAACTCAAAAATTATAAAAGGTACAGTTATCATTTTTGTGCAGTGCACACCTCCTGAGTGAGATCTATGCACCTATGAAGTTTCATTTTGATATCTCAAAGGCTTTTTGAGTTATGCTCTGGACAAAAATTAATTTTGAAAAATAACAAAGGGCAATAACTCAAAAATAATGCAGGGCAGAGTTATCATTCTTTAGCACTGCACTCCTCCTCAATGAGATCCATCCACCTATGAAGTTTCAAGTTGATACCTCAAATACTTTTTGAGATAAGCTCTGGACAAAATAGCATGAAAAAAACAACAAAGGGCAATAACTCAAAAATTGTATAGGAAGAGTTATCATTCTTGCGCACAACATTCCTCCTCAATAAGATCTATCCTTCTATGACATTTCATGTTGATATCTCAAACACTTTTTGAGTTATGCTCCACTCAGGTGAAAAATTAGGTATGAAAAATAACAAAGGGCAATAACTCAAAAATTATGAAAGGAAGAGTTATCATTCTTGTGCACTGCACACCTCCTGAGTGAGATCTATGCACCTATGAAGTTTCATGTTAATATCTCATAGGCTTTTGGAGTTATGCTCTGGACAAAAATCAATTTTGAAAAATAACAAAGGGCAATAACTCAAAAATCATGCAAGGTAGAGTTATCATTCTTGTGCACTGCACTCCTCCTCAATGAGGTCTATCCACCTATGAAGTTTCAAGTTGATAACTCAAATACTTTTAGAGATATGCTCCGGACAAAAATTTCGGACGGAAGGACGGACGGACGGAAGGTCGGACGGACGGAGACTATTTCTATATCCTCCGCCGAAAATTTTTGGCGGGGGATAAAAATGAACAAAGGGCAATAACTTAAATTAAGAGGTGCAGAGTAACAATTCTTGTGCACTGCACTTTGAGTCATTAAAAGAAGCATGCATACCAAGTTTGGAGTCAATCCAACTTATATTGACTGAGTTATGACCTAAGGGGATGCAGCCACTGACAACGCCGCCGACAAAAATAACCCCTATGTCACCTCTGTCAGGGAGACACAAAAACAACAGGATTATGCACAGTGAAACAATACTTATCAATAAAAAAGTATCCTTTTCTACTAAGCACAAGCTATCATTTATTCAAAGAAATCGGGGAAAATAAAACTATTACCATTAATCATTATTTATATTATTTTAATTGGTAACGCGTATTATCTAGTTAAGTAAAATAAAATAGTGCTTAAAACACTAATCATATTCAATCCTTTGATAAGACATTAATGAGTAGAACCATTGCAGACATTAAACATGCCAGACAGTTTGCGAACTTTATACCGATCCTTTGTAGCATTTTTGCTATTGAAATCACTAACATCCCGGTCAATTTGCCCCTTTCATCAGCCGACCCTTTCCTATTTGTGATCTCATATTCGCCGCCTTTTAAATACTTACACTAACTGAAAACTGTTGCCTTGATGGTAGATTAATTTCCCTGTTAATTTTATCTTTTCTAATGTATCTAAAGGAGTATCGTCAATCTGTTGGCAAAATTTAACAATCGCACAAATGTTTAGTTTTTTAAGAAATGTCATTTTTACATTTAACACTGTGACCACTGCTGTTCAAAACTTCAAAAAGTAAAAATAAACAAAGGGCAATAACTCCAGAATTAGACAAGGCAGAGTTATGATTCTTGTGCACTGCACATCTACCCATTGAGATCTATTCACCTACAAAGTTTCATGTTGATATCTCTTATAGTTTTAGAGTTATGCCCTAGACAAGATTTTTCTATAAGGGGAGATAATTCAAAAACCGGGCAAAATAGAGTTATGGTTCTTTGACACTGCACTCCCCCTCAATATCCTCTACCACTGTATGAAGTTTAAACAAATTATCTCCAAGGGTTTTCAAGTTATGCTCTGGACAAGACAACGGACGGACAGACGGACAAGGCGCCGACTATATGCTCCCCCGAAATTTTTCGGGGAGCATAATAAATTATAAGAACAACTTAGCTTCAATAACTTTTTGATGTGCTATGCTAGGTGCATGTTACCATGGTTTTTCAATAAAGCAGGAAACACGCGTTTAGCATGATCAATTAATAAACTGATCTAAAATTGTAGAAAACATGTTACGTTTGCTTAATTACATATGAAAATATTCTAAATTGAATGGAATATGAAGCTGCAAGACTCTAAGTCTTATTACTTTTTGAACAACCCTCATATGATTTATTGTCAACTACATGTCAAACTTGTGTAAAAAAAGTGAAGAAATAAAGTTATATGGCAATCATTTAACTAACATAGCTCTCCTTTATTCTTCAAATATTAAAGCTAATGAAAAGAATTATCATTATTTCATTGTACTTACTTTTTGAAAGATACTGAACATAAGAACCTGTCAGTACTCAATACACTGTGTCACCTACGTTGACAAAGTGCAGTAAAATATCTTTGTTATACAGTGTGCAGCTTCTACAGCCAATTTGATTGTTGCTGAGAGTTGTTTTCTCCTCAGATATTTTGATGACTTTCACTGCATGACTGATAATTTAAAGATATTATTGATCAACAGAAGGCCATACTGCAGAGGTTACACTGTATTATTTTGGCACGGTTCAGAACTTTTCACTATTTAGGGGAGATGATGTGTAAGCGGCCAGATAGCTCAGCCAGTAGAGTCGCAATACAGTATTCCAAAGGTCCCTGCACATTTTTCTCACCCTGTGACATTTGGCGCCTAACATGGGGCTGTGACTATATATAGCTCAGGGTTAATTAACATTGCTCTGTAACTCTGTGAAATTCAAGGACTAATTTCAATATAGCAGGGGAGTATGTCATGGTTCAGAACTTATAATGCACTATTTAGGGGAGATGATGTGTAAGTGGCCGGATAGCTCAGCCGGTAGAGCGGTGGTACGGTATTCCGAGGGTCCCAGGTTCGAGTCTTGGTCAGGCTGCACATTTTTCTCACCCTGTGAAACATTTTTATCAAGATGCATGCTATTTTAATCTAATTGTGCCATAGCTTAACCCCTGACTGTACCTACATATTTGCAGACATACAAGTTTTAAGAATCACAAAAAATTATTCAAAGTCCCAAGAAGGATCCATTATGGCAAAAGATATCTTGCAGAATCTTTAACAACCAAGTCACCAAATGCATCAAATTATGTACAAATATTTACATCTAGTATTGCAGATTTGCAAAATTATTTTAACAACCAAATCATAAACTTCACTTACCAGTTCATCAACTAAATCTTTTAGTCTCTGAATTATGAATAAAGTTCTTCTGTTTTGCCTCATCTCCAACTTGCAAGATATTCTTGGTAATAAACATGTCAATCTGTCTTGTCTTATATCACTGGCTTTAGTTCTAATAACTGTCTTTTGTAGTTACCATCTTCTTGAAAATAAGAAACATTTTGCTATAAACCTTGTGAAGGTATAATGTGAATATGTTTACAAATTTAATTGCAAGTCATGTAACATGTAAGACAATTCTGAATTTCAACATTACAGGAATATCTAAAATTGACAATAAAGTTGGTTTTTAATGAAAATACAAGAAAATTGAACAAATTCTAATGTTTCTCCATGAATAAACTGGCTACTTACTTTTTAAAGCATTTGCAAAGAACTTGTTTATTTATCAATTGCACTTATTACTACATCATGTACATGTACATTTTTGTGTAACTTGACTATTACTGTGCAAGGCATTAACTGTTATATTTTGAATGTGTGAAAAATAAGATCATGTGACCCTGTATTTTGTCACATTGTTACAGTTGGCTGAATTATTGTGTGTAAATGCTGGGCTGTGAACCTTTACTCTCAATTATCAATCAATTAAACCTTGACCAGTCAAGCAATAGACAGGTATAACTGGATAAACAGATTATGGCTGTTGCAAACACACTTCTGAGAGCTTTAGCCGTTATAATACTGCTGGAACCCTGTAACTCATATGACTTTGCCATCATTATAGAGCCAGGCCAGTCTGCACAGGTCTTAAACATGAGTGCATTTAATATTGTTAATTGGTTAATTAAATTTTGATTTTCATCTTGACATCCCCAAATATTTATTGGTTAAAACATATTTATTTAAGTTTGATTTCAAAACAAGTTCTTGCAACTTATATAATAAGTCACTTGCGAGTCCGCTTCCTGGAACCAACCAGTACTGGTATCATATGAAGAAAAATGGTTGTGACCCAATTAGAGCTCAAACCCATGATCCCGGGTTGAGAAGCAGACACCTTAACAACTAGGCCACCACTCCTCTTAAATATTGATTATGAACAGTTCTTTAAATGAAAGGTGTAACAGACAATTTAAGAAATTCCGCAGCTGCCATAAGGTTTAAATAAATGTATGATAGAATGGATACAGCTTAAGTACCCAGTTGTAACAAATGTCTTACTACAAATCCAGGGGTAGCAAGTTTGATTCCCTGTTATCCCAACTCTATAAACAAGAGCTGGTTTGATGCGGGTGATGCTCCCTGAGTAGGTGTTGGACACAGAAATGTACACCTCATGTAGTTTCAGATTTATGTCCCGCACAAAGTTCAAAGTGCAATAATTCCAAAATTAGGCGTTAGGCAGAGTTATTGTTCCAGGAAGCGCACTGCACTTCTTTTCAATAAGATCTATCTACCAAGTTTCTTGTTGATACCTTACTTAATTTCACAGTAATGTCCCGAAAAATTTCACATTGGAAATTAAATAAGGGCAATCGCTTCAAAAATAGGCAAGGCAGAGTTAAACGTTGTTTTTTTTGCAGTACATTATTATCTATGCAATGAGATCTATCTACCTACAAAGTTTTATGTTAATACCTCTTATACTTTCAGCGTTATGTCCTGGATAAAGTTCAAAGTGAAAAACTGAATAAAGGGCAATAACTACAAAAATTAGGCATTGGGCAGAGTTAAAATTTTTTACACTGCTCTTTAACCCAATGAGATTTATATACCTACTAAGTTTTTTGTTCCTATGTCTTATAGTGTCAGAGTTAGGTTCCTGACAAAGTTCAAAGTGTACAATTAATAAACAAAAGACAATAACTCCAGCAGGGCCGGCAAAATCTGATTTTGACTTCCAAAGTTAGACAAGGCAGAGTTATAATTCTATTGCACTGCACAACTTCTGAATGAGATCTATCTACCTACAAAGTGTCTTGTTCATATCTCTTATACTTTTAGAGCTATGTCCTAGACAATGTTCAAAGCATAAAAATGAGCAAAGGGCAATAACTCCAAAATTAAGGTAAACAGGGTTACAATATTTTTGCACTGCACTTCTATTTAATGAGATCTATCTACCTACAAAGTTTCTTGTTGATAACTCTTATGGTTTCAGAGCTATGTCCCTGACAAAGTTCAAAGTTAAAAAAATTAACAAAGGGCAATAATTCCAAATAAGGGAAGGCAGAGTTATTGTTCTTTTGCACTGCACTTCTACTTAATTACAAAGTTTCATGTTGATATCTCTTATAGTATTAGAGTTATGTCCCGGACACAGTTCAAAGTGTAAAAATGAACAAAGGGCAATACCGGTAACTCCAAACTTAGGCATTAGGCAGTGTTACGGTTATTTTGCACTGCACTTCTATCCAATGAGATCTAGCTACATACTGTACATAATTCCATGTTGAAATCTCTTATAGTATTGGAGTTATGTCCCAGATAAAGTTCAAAGTGTAAAAATGAACAAAGGGCAATAACGGAAGGCAGAGTTATGGTTATTATGCAATGCACTTCTATTCAATGAGATTATCTATATGTACCTACAAATTTTCTTGTTGATACCTCTTATGGCTTCAGAGCTATGTCCCAGACAAAGTTCAAAGTGAAAAAATGAACAAAGGGCAATAACTCCAAAATCAGGCAAGGCAGTAATAATTCTTCAGCACTGCACTCTGTCTCAATGCCCTCTACCACTGTGTGCAGTTTAAACAAATCATGTCCAAGGATTTTCAAGTTATGATCTGGACAAAATGGACAGACAGACAGACAGACAGACAGACAGACAAACAGACAGACAGACAGATAAAAGGATGGACAGACGGACAAGGTGGCGACTATATGCTCTCCCTATCCTTAGAAGCATAAAAACAGCCTTTTAGATGAGATTTCAAATACTCTTAAAATTTTCATCTTGACTTCCCTATAATTGATGATAGACAGTTCCAAAAATTGAAGGTGGCCATGTCCATTTTGAAAATTCAGTAAAGGTCAATATGTTTTTTAACATAATAAGCAATAAAGGCAGTACATAACATCACATTAACCTGACATTTAAAACAAGAACTCTGCAAATTAAGTCATGCAGGGCAATATACACAAAATGCAACTTTGTAACAATAATCAAAATAATCTTTTAATAATGGAACAGACACAATGCATTCGTATTTTTTTTCAAAAAATGTTTTATATTAAATATCCTTACCATAACAAGAAATTATACAGTTTTTATTCAAGTTGTCAATTATTTTAGCTACATATGCTTCTCTTAGGTATTTCAGATTATCATCCTAAATATATATTTGAATTAAAATTTTAGTCTACCGGCCCCCACACTCCAATATTTGGTCAGTCTTAACTGATGTACAGCAGGACAGAAGGACAGATAAATGAAAATTCTTCAGGACTCCCACTACAGTACCCCTAAATGGTTCGGGCATAAAAATAACATCCAATTTTTCCAATGTCGACATTTCGATGTTTTACAAAAATAAACAAGAGCCATGTCAACATGGCCATCCCCAGCCGAATGTGTTTGCTCATTGGAAGAATGTATATGTAGTACAGCAGAATAATTCCATTTTAAGAGGTCTTTTGGTAATGAAAACTGATGGCTATAGTGATTACAGATTTGAAACCTATGTGAATACTGATGGCTGAAAATAACAAAGGGCAATAACTGAAAAATAATGCAGGGTAGGTTATCATTCTTGTGTGATGCATCCCTCCTCAGTAAAATCTATCCACCTATGAAGTTTTAAGTTGATACCTCAAATACTTTTTGCGAAAAAAATTGAAATGAAAAATTAAGTATGAAAAATAACAAAGGGCAATAACTCAAAAATTATGAAAGGTAGTTATCATTCTTATGCACTGCACACCTCCTCAATGAGGTCTATCCACCTATGAAGTTTCAAGTTGATTACTCAAATAGTTTTAGAGATATGCTCTGGACAAAAATGTCGGACGGACGGAAGGTCGGACGGACGGAGACTTTTTCTATATCCCCCGCCGAATTTTCGGCGTGGGATAATAATTTCAAATCTCAGCTTTATATGCTTAAAAGAAAATAAAAACAAGCAAAATCCCAGATGCAAAACTACACATACTAACCAACTGTCCTGTAAATTTTCAGTACTCTATGTCAAATACATTTTGGAACTGTTATTACTAAATTAAGGGCAATTACTCTACAAATCTGAGTTAATATACGATTAAACCCCCAGGTGAACAACTAAACTAGTGACAAACATTTCTGTAAAGTTTCATGACTCTAGCTCAAATATAATTTTTGGGCTATGCATGGCATAAATTGAAAATTGCAAATTTCAACAAAATCAAGGACAATAACTTTATGAATAATGAATAAATCCATTTGCATACACACAAATGCACACCTTTGCATGCTGATCACCATTACTATAGTTTCATGACTCCAAGTCAAATACTTTTTGGGCTATGCATGACAAGTTAAAAATTGAAAATTTCAACAAAGTCAAGGACAATAACTATAATAAATAATGAATAAATCCATATGCATACACACATCGCACAACTTTACATGCTGACCAACTATGTAGTTTTATGGCTCCAAGTCAAAACACTCTTTGTGCCCTTTGTGTTGATAATTGCAAATTTTTACTTAGTTTAGGGCAATAACTCTGACAAAACTAAATAAATTGTAAGCAAACCTTCAGGGTGCACAACTACACATGCTGATCAACATTTCAGTAATTTTATGACTCCAAGTCAAATACTCTGTGCTCTTTGTGTTGAAAATTGCAAATTTTTACTAAGTTAAGGGCAATAACTCTGACAAAACTAAATAAATCGAAAGCAAACCTTCAGGGTGCACAACTTTACATGCTGACCAACATTTCTGTAATTTTATGACTCCAAGTCAAATACTCTGTGCTCTTTGTGTTGAAAATTGCAAATTTTTACTAAGTTAAGGGCAATAACTCTGACAAAACTAAATAAATCGAAAGCAAACCTTCAGGGTCCACAACTACACATGCTGATCAACATTTCAGTAAAATTGTTGACTAGCTCATATGCACTTTTAGAACTACATGTGACACAACATGAGAATACATGCAAGTACAGACGGACGTATAAGGGCAAATCTAAATGTCCCACTAGAGTGGGGACACAATCATTACACAAACAAATACATCAAAAATTATGTGTTATATAAACATGAAAAAGGGGAAATAATTCTCACAAAAGTGACAGTAACTAAAATATTTTTCTATCTGTTTACTAGTATGTCAAATACTATAATGCTCAATAAACAAACAAAGTTAAACAGAAATATAGATCTATTTATGACTTTTCTAGAAATATGATTTTTTATGTCATATATGTACATTTTTCACCAGCCGGATATAAGTCTAAAAAAAAAAAACAACGAAAAACAAAATGCCTTCAGTTACAGTAAATAAAGAACTTGCATGCAAATCTTAACAAATTGAAGAACTTAGGATTATGTTTGGCAGGTGGATTTCAGCTATAAAGAAAACAGGCTGGTGAAATGCCCGATGGAGCCTGGGACATAAGATAACTAAGATAGTCCCAGATCGAGCTTAGACATAAAATATCATATTTCTAGAAAAATATTTAATATTCTTCTTTCTCACTTGTTTTGTTTATAAAGCATTGATATATGATACAAATCAAAATCAAAATAGTTTGGTTATCTTTTATTTTCTTAGAATTATTTCCCCTTTTCCCATTTTCCAGAAACAAAATATTTGAAGTTCATAAAAATTATATTGTAATGTAAAATTCTAGAATAAATAAATAGAAATGTGTCCAACAACTTCATTTGCTCTAGATTATTGCGCCAATACCTTTATTCTTGATTAAATATTTTGTTTCTGACATTTATACTTTGACAATTCTTTGATACTGAACATAATACTTTGAAGTTTTCTCTGAAAACTGAATATAATGTATGCTGAGAGGTGATTGCGCAATGAATTAGAGTATAAAGAAGTTATTTAACCTATTTTATTTTACACTTTGCATATGTAACATACTTTTAAAGGACTTCAAAAATTATGTGTTATAAAAACATGAAAAAGGGAAATAAATCTCACAAAAGTGACAGTAGCCAAATATTTTTCTTTCTGTTTATGTCAAATATTATTCTCAATAAACAAACAAAGTTTAAAAGAAATATCTTTATTTCTTTTCTAGAATTATGATTTTTTATGACATAAGACCCATCGGGCATTTTCACCAGCCTGGAAAACATCAAATTTAAGGAATTGATTCACCCTTTCTTTTTACTATATTTATTATTAGAGAAATAGTGGTATTTGAACTGTTCAAGAACATGAAAAATTAAAATATTAATACCTCTTCCCTATAGATTTCCACAAACAGACGATTGAACTTCAGCGTGACATTTCTGTGTTTATTTCATTTGGCATTTTCAGACTGAGCTACTGATTGGTTGAGGTGACAAGCGTACTTCAATAAGGGTTTTCAAAATAGAAAAAATAATCCCGAGCTGAATTAAGATTTTCCTGATAAATTATCCATTTGTTAGTTTATCATAACATATACAATTCTTTATGTCTAATACATTTGGATACTTGGCATTTTAAACAAGAATTTCGTGACTTTCATGCAAAGTTAGACCACCGCACACAGCCGTTCAAGGCGTACTATACTATACAGTTATATACATGTCGGTATAAAAACATCGACAGACGGTAAGTATTTATTTGTATCATAGTTTGGGGCCCTTTCTGTTGAAAATGTCACTGTTAAATCGTATACATATACATGCACAGTGCGTTAACTTGTCCAGAGCATGCCCATTGATTGGTTCATTTTGTCCGGAGTTTACATATTGTGACGACAGAGAAAGGGATAGCGATAGAAATGTCATATTCAGATGCTCGTTCATTGGTTGCTTTTTTTGTGGGGTTTCATATTGTGGTATCAGGGAACGTGTTTTTATGTTTGACTGATACAAAAGAGAAAGAACACTCGGGGGCTACGGCCCCTCGTACAAATCAGATAGTCTCGTGTTTCGATGCTCTTTCTATTACTTATTTTTAACTGTGTTCGAGTTCGATTTTTAAACGTAAACATTTTGTTATTAAGATATTTAAAACCATACCTTCAAAAATGCTTTTCTTTTAATTTAAAGATATATGGTAATGTCTCAAAATTTGAGTAACGTCACCAACCAATCGCCTGGATCTATTTAATGATAACATCGACATCCACTCATCAGCAAGACGCTGGAAACATTTTAAGGCTATTGTGCTATAGTAACTAGGAACTCCTAACAAGTTATCTCCTTCATGTAAGAGTTCTTCCCCCGTGAAACTTGGCAATTATTTCGATGTTTCTCTTAAAACTATACATATTTCACTCACTGACAGCCTAGAATCAACGTTATGCAAATCTAGACACATTTAAGAATTATCTTATTACGTCAATTTTCAAAGTAATATACGTAAGCGGTTCTTTTGACATTATAACACTTTCATAACAATGATGATAAAAGTAGGCTCTTGAAGGTTACATGTACTTCTCACGGGGGAGGAACCGGTGAACTGTTACACGAAATTGAAAATTTTCTGTCTGGAAAAGAAATTGTTAATACAGTTATATCTAAAGCAAACACTAAGCTTAAATGTTTTTACAGAATATGTAAATGTCTATCTTTTAACTGTAGAAAACTGCTTTGTTCTGCTTTAATCCAATGTCACTTTGACTATTCTTGTTCATATTGGTACGAACGTTTAAATAAAAGTCTGAAAAAAAAAGAAACTTCAAAAGTAGCTCAAAACAAAGTCATATAAGGTTTATAATAACTGTTACGGAGTTTCTGGAAAACGTTACGGATTTCGTCAGAAAAAAATTTATATATCGAGCAAACACTCGTGAAAAATGGTAATTTTCATCTTTTAAAAGGAAGTTTGTAATGATAAATTAAGCTTGACATACAAATTGTATTATGTGTCAAAAAAGCTTTTTAGTCTATTTTTCATGGTCTCTTGCTTAAAATCTGGTAGTTTGGAGTAAAAAGTTCCAATTTTTTGCTCATCCGTACACATAGACCTGCCCATGTGTGATTTTTTTTCCTTGCCATACCTTTACTTAATTACCTAATTTAATGGAAAGTTGCAAACATAAAGGCCTTACTCACAAATTTATGCCCTGTTTTTCAAATGTCACGTAGTTCTTGTGATAACTCTGGAGATGTCCTAAATAACTTGTGTTACTGCCAGTGTGTTTCTTTTGCTAAGTTACGGCACGTTTGAGCGTATTTTACTAGTCAATAAGTGTGTAAATTATTATGAAGCGTAGAACGTTTATCATTTGCACAAAAAGTTGGTTATATAATGTTGGTTTTGGGTGTATTTCAATTCAAGAGATATTTTTCTTTCCTCAGTTTCTTGTGCCTTTTTTAGAATTATTACAAGAACTCCGTGACATTTGAAAAATCGGGTATAAATAAAGTAGCCTGGGCTTTATGGTTCCAACTTTCCATTATAAATAGGTAATTTAGGTATGGCAACGAAAAAGATCACAATCGAGAAGGTCCATATGTACGAATGAGCCAGTTATTTGGAAATAATACTCAAAACTATCAGGCTTACAAAGCAAGCTTGATCTTAGCACCTCAAATTCCCCATTTAAAGTTAAAAAATACCAATTTTACGTGTGTTTCTCCAGTATACAATAAAGTTCTCCGACGAAATCCATAACGTTTTCTAGGAGCTCCCTGACAGTTATTATAAGAACTCCTGACAAGTTATCATAAGACTTCCATCCTTCGTGTAACAGTTCCTCCCCCGTGTGTCAATTTTTTACCTTTGTTGAAAAGGACATTGCAAGATCAGTTTATTCAAGAGTGTTTAAATTTAAACATCTCCATCCTTCGTGTAACAGTCCCCCCCCCCCCCATTTTAAATTATATATCTAAACTTGATTACTCTCGAAACTTCAAAACCACATTTTGTTATGAATTATATTTGAATTATATTTGGATAAAATGCCACATGATGAATTAGGAAAACGTTCACATGATTAACACTATGCATATTCACATAACTAAAAGGTTGAGCTGGTTAAATACAATAGAACAGATAGAGACAACAGATTATGTAAAATGTGCAATCAAATTGCCATCGGAAATGAATATCACTTTTTGCTTTGTTATACTAAATATTCTGAAATTCGTTATTGATATATTAGGCATATTTTATGACCCGCAATAAATATGTTCAATGCTCTTACATCTCCAACAAATAAGAAAAAATATCATTTATCAAAATTTGTTATTTAAAGAAGCTTTTGAGACACGTAATAATGCCCTTGAAAATATAGCTGTTTTATATTAAATGTATGTATTCTAAACCATTGCATTATTGCATGCTTTACGTGTATAATTTATAAATAGTCCAAGGCAATTGATTTTGCTGATTTTTGCCAATAGCTTGTTAAACTTAATTTAAATTAATATGTGCTCTGGTCCTATCGGTCATATACAAAATATTTTACACACATGCTTTAGACTGTGGAGCAGTTTGGCATTATAATTCAAGGAAGGGCCCACGATAATGTTGTTAGAACTTTAAGTCCAACCCTTTTGTATGTACACTTGATTATTGTTAAATTATGAAATTGTATATTGTGTATATATTTATACAATAAAATATAATTAAAATTAAACTATTTAGAATGCTCAATACAGTGCAGAGCGTTTTTGCAAACTCCGCCCAAACGGCAATGAAGCGCGGAAGAAAATTTATAGATGTATTTTTTAAGTACCACTACGTACTACACTGCCAGCCAACGGTTTCCTACAATCGACGGTCTTTGTAGACCGTCAGGGACCGTCGAATTTGTGGAGACCGTCAATTAATATCCCCCGGATAATAGCCGAGGATGTTCTGATTGGCCATTCGGAACTGCCTCGGCTATTATCTACAATATTAACGTCCGAAGACTAACGGAAAGGGCCGAGTAGTTGCGATTGCTGATTGGCATATAAAAACAGAAGTCACATGATCAAAATATGGCGGATGTCATGACCATTGGTAGCACATTTGTGTTTATGTCAATATTTTTTATATGTCTTTATCGATTTGTGAAAAGAAGGAACAAGGAAGTTATTGTATTTACAAGGTATCCGGTGGCTGGCAAGGCAAAAACCAGGCTTATTCCAACTCTTGGTCCTGATGGGGCAGCTAAACTGCAAGTTTGCATGGTGAGTTTTTTGACCACCAGTCTCATTACATGTATGCATACTGGACAGGTATCACACTCATTGTGTGCTAATCTCTCATGGTGTCTCCAGATACCTTTTGATTGGATTGCAAAATACAAAAATATTTGCGCTAACTCAAACTCAGACATATAGATGCTATGGTGTACGGACATAATTAATCCCCTTCGGACGAAATCCCCTTCATGTATTTTTGTACATCTGGACATAATCCCCTCCATGGGTGGAAAAAATCCCCTTCTAGGACAAAATCCCCCTCGGAGGTATTTTCGGTTAATAAAGTAGGTATGAGAGCGATATACTGCGTTATGCTGTGTGGTTAATTGATGTAACCAACTAAACTAATTAGACCAAGGTGGCTGAAACAGTACTCGATTCCTGCAATATTCAACGTTCGCTGATGTTATGTAGTTCAGCTTCTTTCCTCGTTGTATTTCTCTTAGGAACAATCTGCCAGCACCTGTTGCTGAGGCTAATTCTTTGGCATCCTTCAAGAATGAGCTGTCTAAACTAACCTTCTAAGGGGACTTACATGCACAGTTACGAAATACCGCCAAATGAAGGGCTTGTGCTATGCCAGCAGAGTCTCAGACCTGGGCACCGCCACGGAAGCTGGATTGGTCTTGCCTAGATGGTAAAAAAGTAACTGTGTACAACTATCTTCTGCTACTTCTTTTATTTTTAATTTCTACATGTATCTAGCAAAAACTGTGTCTGTTTTATTTTTTTCTTTCTATCCTATTTTTATTTCTCTTTAGTCTTTTTCTTGTGCACTGTTAAAGAAATGTCAAGTTTGACAGTCAAACATACAGATGTAGATGTAGCTTATCCCTTTTCTACAAGATTCATCATGGTCTGGTTGCTATTATCCCCATAGAAGAATAAGTGACACATGTTTTAGCAGATCAAAGGTATTATGCAATAATATGAAATTAGGCAAAGCCTATGACCTGGGAAGTCTGTTTAAAAAAAATCGTTCATTTTTCCATTTTAAAGGTGTCATTCAGTATTACATGCACAGCTTTTGTTTTCACTCAGAACACCTCAACAATTATTATTAGGCCCAAAAGTTGTGATTATTCCATTAATTTGGAATGCCCCACCTGTTATCATTGAGTTGCATTCAAAATTGCAGCAAACAACTAGAAATGACACTGAAAATTTTATTCATAGGTCAGTGACATAGATGGTTATCTGCATCTCTGGATTGGTATAGAAATCAATATAAATTTTTCATTGTTTTTTTATTTGATTTCCTTTTAAATATTCACATGTAGTCTATAGCCGGGTAAGCCAAAGCCCCAGCCTGCTTTGCGTTCCTGGACTTTTACTTCCCTTTATAAATTAGTAACAGTATCATGTAGACTTTATCATGATTGTCTCTTTTATTTCAGACTGAGCATATCATTAAGGTGCTACAGAGGGTGTACATCAGCTATAGTAAAAGCATTAATGTGACATTACAATATAATGGTGGAACTCTGTCACAAATGCATGAATGGCTGGATAGAAAGTTATGGGGTCTTCCTTGCACATATAGGCCTCAGACTGGTAACACACTGGGAGAGAAACTGAAGTTGGCGGTCAAAGATAGTTTTCAGAGAGGAAATGAAAATGTTATAGTTATTGGTAAATATTCTCCTTTTTGAAAATCATGATGGACAGATTGGGATATTGTGTTTGTGTTTAGGGGATATTTCTGATGTGTTTAACAAAGAATGATGTAGACATCTAACCATATATTCCTAGTTTATTATATCTGATGTTCAATAGCTCATCATACCTCAATTGATTGAGGTCCATAATTATGCATAAAAAGATAAAATTTCAAATTCTTACATTATTCAACTGGTACACTCTAAAAATATTGAACAAAAAATATGTAAAAGATAATGAAAAGGTATGCTCAGAATTAGATTAGAAAATCAATATTTTGTTTGAATCTTTGCCCAATTTTTGTTAAAAACATTTTTGGTTAGTTTTGGGCAATAAAAATTATTACTTTGGAAAAATGAAATGAGCAAATGGTCTGAAGTTTTGAACACAAGTTGTTAGTCCAAACCTCCATCAAATGGTATATAATTCTCGAAAAAATATTTCCATTCCTGTCACGTCAAAAAAACTCAGTAAAGTGCCTTTAATTCTTGCACAAGACACATTATCATACAAAATGTTTATGACCTGAAGTCACTTCAGAAGTATATAACAATTTTCTGTATAAATAGATACTCTAGCTTTCGGCTTCAACATTTCAGTTGAAAATCATATGTCTCCAATGATACAGCCTGTCAAAATCTTTTAAATCTTAACCATCAAACTTGTGATGTATGAATTTCTGGTATGTACACAAGACATGTTTGTTTGTTTGTTTGTTTGATTGGGTTTTACGTCACACCAACTCATTATAGGTCATATGGTGACGTTCCAGCTTTACTGGTTGAGGAAGACCTCAGGTGCCCAGTTCCGTGCATTATTTTATACATGAACGAGCACCTGAGTAGAACCACCAAAGTTCCGTAAGCTTGCTGGATAGCTTCCTCACATAAAATAATCCAAAGTCCCTATCGGGATTTGAACCCACAGTGTTCAGGGTCAAGTTGGTTGAAGTCAACGACCTTAACCACTTGACCATGGAAGCCCCCTAGCTGTACAGAAAACATAACCATATTTTAATTATAATTCATAATATACAAGTTTGAAGTCTAATGAGCATCATTGCATTGCAATGATTCAAACATTGGCAACTGACATAGTATCCATATTAATACAATGAATATACAAAATGTATGTATAAAAAAAAATCGAAAGTCTGTAGTTGATGCTACCATTTTCATAATGCTTGTGCTTTTTGCACTGGATTTGTCAACTTGCTTGATTGTCTTTTTTTTTTTTCTTGACTATTTGCAAACACACAGTATAAGAAATGACATATTTTCCAAGGTTAAATGATATATAAGGGTATATTTTTCTACTTTGCATTAAACATTTTAGTATTGTTTTATTCATTGTGTCCCATTTTATACCACAATGTAAACTTCTGTAAGAAAAATATGCAATAGTGTGAATATATTGATGTTATGTCTTTAAATATAACATAACGTTTTAATGAATGATAATGATCATATGAAATTTGTGTAGCTAGGGGGAACAATTCATATGGTAAACTGCTGTGATATGGTCTGTGGAGTTGTCTCCCTTATAGGCAAAAGGAAATAGGCTCTTGTAATTCTGTTTAGAATGGCTTCCATATATTTTATGTTTGTGTTTTATGTTTTATATATATTTTTATGTAAACATGTAAAGATGAGAAATAAATAAATATAAAGATGTTTGACAGGTTATATGACTGGATAGACATGTAAATGGTTGTTTGCTAAAAAGCATTTATGCTGGGCCATAAAACCCAACAAACTAATTTTAATATTATTTGTTTTAGGAGCTGATATACCTGGAATCACAGAGGTTATTATACAGGATGCCTTTAAAGCTCTATCTGATACAAAGACTAACATGGTGATAGGGAAGGCAGAGGATGGCGGTTATTACCTCATTGGCTTCAATAAGCAAGCCACAAGATTCGTAGGTTCGTTTAAAGCTGCATGCCTCCAGATGAACCAAAATATTTCAAGAAAATCAAACTTGAGAAAAATGTAATATAATTTTAAGAAAAGTGAAAAAATTACAAGATTTCAGTAAAAACTTAAATGCTATGTACAATTAATGACTGATTGCAGTATTTATCACAATATTTCTACTGCATTACTTTCTACTGCGTTACTAACACAGTAGGGGTTATTTTTGCATATTTTTACTTATTTTTTGGTAATTTGCATGGGTTATAAGTTCTGTTTGCAATATATAAAGTATTTTCTTGCTCATTTCACAATATTTTACTTTTTAATTCATTTTCAAAATTTTCATGAAAATTGGCAGGAATCTGGAGGCGTGCTGCTTTAAATATATTAATGTAATTTTTTTAATATTCAACAGTTAAGGGGAATTATAATAATCCTCAATTAAATTGGTGTCTGAAAGTGGCACACCTCCAGATAATTGAAATAAATCTTCAAAAATCTTAACAAAAATAAATTTATGATTTGAGGCATAATCACAATCAATGAAAGTGAGTACGAACAAAATTTGTGAACAAGGTTGTCATAAAAACGAGTGACCCAGGGTCTTAAAACAGTTGGCCACAAGTTACATGAAAAATTGAAAGTAACATTGAACTTGAAATGACCAAAAGTAGTATACAGAGGCCAAAAGTAACATAAATAGGCCAAAAATAATGTTTAATGATCAAAACTGAAATACAACATGATAAGTGGCTCCAAAATGAATATTAGATGCCATCTTAAGGTGGTCTGTTTATGAATCAGATCAGAATCAGATAATTCACATATTCAGGTAAAATAAAACATAATATATTTAGGTATACAATAAAAATAAAACATTTCTTCTGCCACTAGATAGTGTATTTGAAGACATAGAATGGGGAACCAGCAAAGTATTCCAGCAACAAATAAACAAAGCAGAAAACTTACATGCATCTATCACAGTATTACCTGTTGTTTTACAAGATGTGGTAAGTTGTTGTTCACTTACTCTTCAAAATTAAAAAACAATGTAAAGTGCATTTTTTTTGTGTCGCCTCTACGGAGTAGTGGCGACATATAGGGATCACTTCTCCGTCGTCTATCCGTCCGTCACAAAACTTGTCCAGACTACTCCTCATAAACTACTGGTGCAGTTTCATCCAAACTTTACAGGAATGATCAGTACCCAGTCTAGTTGTGCATATTGTCAGCATTTTCCCGTTCAATGATTTTTGTAAGAGTTATGGCCCTTTAATAATTTTTATTTTTAAAGTTTGTCCGGACTACTTCTCTTTTACCACTAATGCAATTTCAATGAAACTTTACAGGATTGATCAGTAGCTCAAGTCCTTGCGCACATTGTAGGGTTTTCCGGTTGAATGATATTTGGCCGAGTTATGGCCCTTTGATAAAAAGGTGTTTTTTTTCTGTGTGTTGCCAGATACACAAAAGCTTGTCCGGACTACTCCTCATAAACTACTGGTGCAATTTTTTCCAAACTTTACAGGAATGATCAGTACCAAGTCTAGTTGTGCACTGTCCGTCTGTCTGTCTGTAACAAACTTTGCCCCCACTACTCCTCATAAACTACTGGGGCAATTTCATCCTAACTTTACAGGAATTATCAGTACCATGTCTAGTTGTGCATATAATCAGCTTTTTATGGTTAAATGAATTTTGTCGGAGTTATAGCCCTTTAATCATTTTTATTTCTGAAAGTTTGTCCGTACCACTATTGCAATTTCAGTGAAACTTTACAGGATTGATTGGTAGGTCAAGTACTTGTGCATAATAAACAAATAAAAGCATTTTAGCCTGATTTTTTTATCACATGCTGCAGAATAGTCTCGACATATAGGGATCTTCATTATATATGTGTTCTGCCGCAACATGAAAATAGTTGCAACATATGGGATCACTTTTTTGTTGTGTGTGTGTTTCTTTGTCTGTTTATCTGTCACAAATTTGTCAACCCAAACTGTACAGGGATAATCAGAACGAAGTCTAGTTTTGCATATTGTCAATATTGGTTGAGTTATTGCCCTTGCTTTATCACATGCTGCAAAGTAGTCTCTACATATAGGGATCACATCTTCGTTTGTTTTGCCCTGTTAATCATTTTTGTGTCTTCCACTACACTGAAGCTGCAACATGAAATTGGCCATCATGAGGCTACACATGTGATCCCTGATTGCTCTTGTATTGAAAATAGATAATCATTATTTTGTATGCAGGTGTACAATTAATAACAAAAAACCCTCTTGATAGATAACGGGAGCATGCGATGTTATCATGTATTAAATATGAATGATTAGCAACATATTATTATAATATTGATTTCTATGGAGACTATAATTTTAACATTCAATCAAATTGTGCATATGAATTAAATGGTAAAAAGATATTTACAGTATTGAAAAAGAAGATATGGATATTTTATCAAGGGAAGACTGTGGACACAGACTTATTAAATCCATGGCCTTGCGGTCTTGGGCTGAAAATGCATCCCCCAGTGCCTCAGAAGATTTTAATGTACAAAAAAAGGTCAGGGATATTTTTTGGCTAATTATATAGCCGTTATTGGGTCATATTCCCAACTGAAAATAGTATATTATTTTCCCAATTCACAGGAAAAAAATCCCAATTGAAAAATACAAAATAAAAATATTGAATAAAAATTCTAAAATCTTTGAAAATAAGGGCTCCTTCACTGTAAAAGTGCTTAAATGTTTGAAGATGCCATCTTAGACAGTAATTGTTTGCATCCATTTAATCACTGTAAAATTTCAGTCATGCATTTTTTCCCAATTTTTAACAAAACACCGCTGAAATTCCCAAGTCCATGGGTATGGGTCATGTTCCCAAAATCCTTTAAAAAATCTCTGAAAGTTCATTAACCCTCTATTATAGATTGAACAGGAGATTTTCAGATGCAGATGTTTCATTCTGTAATGAAATTGAAATGTTAGCAATATCATATTATTATTAATATTGATTTTTATGGAGAATGAATATTTAGATATCTCTTGCTGCAGGATTTGGAAGAAGATATTTCAGTATTTGAAAAAGAAGTTGGTATATCAAGGGAAGACCTGTGTGACACAGCTTGGACCATCATTGTTCCCACATTAAACGAGGAGAAAAATATGATAAATTTGTTTAGTAATATAATTGAGGTAAGGTGAAATTTCAAGGTCACTGAGTGTCATTATGAATAACCTATTGCAATTGATTAATTAAAGGCAGCTTGTATAAACCTTGGAACAGCTTCTTTATAAACCTCTCACACTTGGATCTTTAAATTCAATTATTTCATGTTTTTTTTAAGCTGCAATATTTTGTTTAAAAGAATGAGCTGAGTAGAAGATGCTCAAGGTCAAGGTCCAGAATATATTGTTACTATAAATAGATTATTTGCACAGACTGTGTTGACATAAAACCAAATCAACATGTACATCATATAATGCTGTCAAATTGTCATTCGACCATTATTATAAAGATATGTTGAAAATTAAAAAAAAGGCCAATTTTGTCCATGGAAACTAGTGACCTTGAATCTTTAAAGGTCATAGGCAAGACAGTTATTTGGAAAATATATCATAAGTATATATTTAATTATTGCATTAAAGGTGTTAAAGGGATAAAGTTGTATTCATATTACGAAACTTCTTGCTCTTTAGTGACCTTAAATTTCTCAAGGTCAAATGTCATAGACACAAAATCCAAGTTTTGCTTTTTTAAAATCTTATTAATAAATTACATATTTGTATGAGTAGCTTGACTTCATGGAATATTTCATAATAAAATGGTAAAATATGATATTTTTGCCATGTGTTTTTTCTGCCAAATACATTGTATACAAAATGAATGTACAATTTATTCTTTATTTTCAGTGTTGTAGTAATTTAAAAAATATCAGGGAGGTTGTGATAAGTGATGGTGGCAGCTGTGATAGAAGTGTAGAAGTTGTAGAAGAGTTTAGTAAAACATCTCCAGTAAATGTAAGACTGATACACAGTATACCAGGTAATACTGAACTGTTTAGAAATCTTGGCTGCATTCTGACTGGTTCTTAAGATCACTAGTTTTAAAGAAATTTAATAATGTAAATGTTAGACTGATACACAGTATACCTGGTAATACTGAACTGTTTAGAAATCTTGGCTATATTGTGACTGGTTCTTAAGTTCACTGATTTTAAAGAAATTTAATAATGTAATAAAAATTTCAATAAAACATATCTTGATAAAGTTGGCCAGCCGACTATAGCTGGTGCCCTTCTGTGCATTATTTCAGGCACAAACGGGCACTGGAGTAGAACCACCGACATTTCATAAGCTAGGTGGATACCTTCCTCACATGAAAGAATCCAAAGTCCTTTTCAGGATTCAAACAAACAGTGGTGAGGGGCAAGTTGTTTGAAGTCAACAATCTTGACCACTCGGCCACAGACACCGCCTTATTGAATTTAAAAATACATGTATAATAATTTTCATATTTTTCAAGGTAGCTCTTGTACTTTTCCCGCTTGTAGAAATTGTGACACAGTGTTACCACATATTTAAATCAAGAAATTGGTACATAGAAAAATTTCTGCAAGCATAACAGGAGCAGTATAAGAGCTATGTACAGTGAAAGCATTCGGAACTGCCTTGGCTATTATCTATAATAACCTCGGAAACAATACGGATTGAAAGTTAGTTCTACCACGTGGTTTCAGATGTAAACAGAAACAGAGATAATGTAAAATGAATGTATATATGACATATAATGTTTGTTCCGGTACTCTTATGCTTGAAAATAGGTCCACTGATGTTCAATTTTAAACAAATCCAACTAAATGTCAACAGGTTGGTTTTTTTTGTACTTTCGGTTTCAACAACCATAATAATAAATATATAAATAATGTATTGTTTACTTTTGTACCTATGAATTCAGTTATTTTAGGTGGACTTTTACTACATTTATTGGAAATAAACTTGTCAACAACTCCCAGCATTAAATTACTATTTGTTTACATGTTTAGTTTCTTAGCGTAGGTTAGACTGAAATACCGCATCCGTTCTGTGTATTCATGCTATTGTGTTCGAGGTCCTTATCCCAAGACTGACGGAAAGGGCCCAGTAGTTGCGATTGCAGTGAAAGGTTATATATCATTTGAATCAGCAATTATTTAACTGGAAAATGGTATATGTTAATTATTCAAGTATTGAAATATATATCAAAAAATTAGAAAACTACTTTTAAGTCATGGGCATTGCCAATGGCTGTGACTAATGTAACTGTAAACAAATATCACATGATCACCCATCCTAATTAGTATGTAGTGTGATCAAACAGCACATATATGCGGGCTTGTTTTGCATATACTGAGAATATGGGTAAATTATTAACATTACTTATACCCGTGTTATGATAAGTCAGAAGTTTAAGGTCATTTATCAATCTTGATTTTCAGAACTTTTGATTTCCAGGTAGAGGGAACCAGTTAATTAGTGGTGTGGATGTATCCATGGGAACCAATTTACTGTTTCTGCATGCTGATTCAAAACTACCTAAGAACTATGACATATTAGCATGTGAATGTTTAGATACACCAGGTGTTGTAGCCGGGGCATTTCCCTTTATGCTGGATGTCTTGGAAAATAGCAACCTGTAAGTAAGTTTTGCCCTGACATTGTTCTAATTGTTCAAATCTTTACCTCTTATCCTTGAACAGAATATTTGTTTGTTTTTTTATGCCCACGGGCATATAGTAATTGAACCGTCCGTCCGGCCGTCCGTCTGTCCATCCATCTGTCTGTCCCTACGAGGTTAACCTAGAACGGCAAGTTGGATTTTTCTTAAGTTCTACCTGTACCAATGGCTTACTAGTCAATAAAAAGTACATGATCTGGGCAAATTACATAACTCTGGCTTTCATATTTACCAAGTTATTGCCCTTTTCAGCACTTAGAAAATGAATAATGGTTAACCTAAAACGGCAAGTTGGAAATATCTTAAGTTCTATCTATACTAATGGCTTTATAATTTCCACACTTACTTATCAATACAAAGTACATGATATTGCCAAGTTATATAACTGTGTCATCCATATTTCCCAGTTATTTCCCTTTTTTCACTTTGAAAATAGGGCCTTGTCTGGTTAACCTATTTCGGCAAGTTGGATTTATCTTAAATTTCTCCTAATTGCTTAATTTCTTTAATGATATCTTTCATATTTAGTAGGTGGATACCTTTGATGGTCCTCTAATTTTTTGTGGAGTAAGCGGTCTCTAGGGTCAAGGTCAAGGTCACTGGTTTAAAAAATAAATATAAACATTTTTGCTCATACAGCCTTTATTTTTTAGTTGATGTCTTAGTTTAATACAAACATGCCAAGGGAGGTCCTCCTTCTTTGGGTGTAGTAAGGGGTCATTTGGGTCAAGGTCAATGTTACCAATGTCAAGGTCACCAATGTTAAAAATAGATTTTTACATTTTTACAGGTGTATTGACCTTATTCTATAGACAGATGTTATTTATAATTGATAGAAACATAAACTTTGATGGAGTTAGTGGTCAGTTGGGTCAAGGTCACCAGTGCTAAAAATAGATTTTTACACATTTGCTCATACAGCCTTTATTAAGTGACAGATATATTTTATATTTGGTAGGAAGATAACTTGCATGGTATTCATCCTTTTGATTGGGGTAGGGATCAGTGGGTCAAGGTCACTTGTGCTAAAAATAGATTTTTACACTTTTGCCCATACAGCTTTTATTTATTGACAGATGTATTTCATATTTGGTAGGAAGATAACTTGCATGGTATTCTTCCTTTGGATGGAGTAAGGGGTCAGTTGGGTCAAGGTCACCAGTGCTAAAAATAGATTTTTACACTTTTGCCCATACAGCCTTTATTTATTGACAGATGTATTTCATATTTGGTAGGAAGATAACTTACATGGTATTCTTCTTTTGGATAGAGTTAGGGGTCAGTTTGGTCAAGGTCACCAGTGCTCAAAATAGATTTTTACACTTTTGCCCATACAGCCTTTATTTAATGACAGATGTATTTCATATTTGGTAGGAAGATAACTTGCATGAAGTTGAATATTTTTCAACTTCACAAGTCAGAGCAATGACTTGGCAACTTATATTTTTCACAATTACAAAATGCCATGACTTTGTCAAGCTATATAACTTGTGTTTACAATTTTTTGGCAATTTTTCAGTCCATAGCTGAGTGAATGGGTAAACATTTTTTGAAATATTGCTACTGACAAGAATCTGAGCCGGGGGCATTTGTGTTTAACAAACATGTTTCTGTTTAGGTTTAAAGTCACACTGACACTTTAAAAGTCATATGACCATTTTCCAGCTTTAGATGTGGAGGATAACCTCAGGTGCCCGTGCATTATTTCAGACATAAGCTTCCCGAGTAGAACAACGAATTTTCCATCAGCTTGCTGTGGATAGCTACCTCAAATAAAAAAATCCAAAGTCTTTGGCAGGATTTGAACTCACGAAGGTTAAGGCCAAGGGGTTTTGAAGTCTAACAGCCATGAAGAACCGAAAGTTATAATCCTTTTACCATCAGTATAGATTCAGGTCAGTCTGCACATATGTGCAGTTTTACTAGGCTATATACTTTTGGTATCTTTTTTTCGTACTTAGATATTGAAATCTCTTAAATAGATAATGGACTGTTTCAAAGTCAATGCAGGGCAAGTCCATTATACAGATACAGCGGGTTGTGGGTTTCTTAGATTTAGGTAAAATTTCTTGCAAACCGTCACACTGCTAAGAATGTTTAAGGAGGAACATGCTTCAGAGATATGGCCATTGAGTATCATTTAATTTTTTAGAAATTGTTATAATACACTGAAAATAAAATAGCTTTTGAGAATTCAAAAAGAAAAATAGGCATTCGCTGCTTAATTGGCCCTAAAGAGAAAGTTTTGAAGACTAAAGATATGACCTAAGGTAATCCTATAACATAAGACGTTTCCATTAGTAATACGTAGAGTGGTACTAACAGAAACGTCTGATGTCATAGGACCAGACTTAAGGTAGGTTTAAGATGTATTAAATGAGACAAACAAATATTTATCATAAACAATATCCCATCTGATTTACTGATTGCTGCTCGGACATGAAAACAAAATTGTTGAAATATTGATAATCTTTTTCCAGAAGAAGCATGGAGCCCTGGTGGTTTATACTTCAAATGAAAGCATTAGTGTGGGGCACAAACATACGATCTTCTAAATATGGTGAGAAACTTGTATTTCTATAATGCTGCTGCAAAATGTTAAACATGTATATTTTCTTTCATATTTTGTTAAAATAAAAAGTCAATCCTGACATGTGGTTCTCTGAATGTAAATTAAGTCTATAAATACAGAAATTATTTTCGTATGATTTTGTAAACAACTGTTGGTACTGACCCACTCACATATACATTCCTTATATCAACCAAGTGTAAAGTTTGTTGCTCAAAGAAATATTGGCAAGCTCTCACCCCAAGCGGATAACTATGCATAGATTACTAGCCTGACGCATTAACCACTCTACCATGCCCCAAATGTAAATTTGTTATCAACTTTGAGTATACTTTAAATTTATATAAAACAGGTGTGAGGACACTGGCTTCACTCTGAGAATTCACTTTGTATAATGTTGCTACAAAAAAATTGTTGCTTAAAAACATACTGTAACCTTTTGACACAGTATCCCCAATTATTAATGTCATATATTGATGAAGATCATTCCTGAGGAAGGCTTTACTATGGGGCAGTGCTAGGGTGTGTGAAAGATGTTGCACATTTACATTTTCTCACCAGAACAGACTATCAAACCGAGTCTGCAATTTTCATGGAATATCTTTGTTTTTTTAGCTCACCTGTCACAAAGTGACAGGGTGAGCTTTTGTGATCGCTTTTCGTCCGGCGTCTGTCCGTCGTCCGTCCGGCGTCCGTCCGTCCGGCGTCCGTCCGTAAACTTTTACTTTAAATGACATCTCCTCATAAACCACTAGGCCAATTTCATCCAAACTTCACAGGAATGTTCCTTTGGTGGTCACCTTTAAAAATTGTTCAAAGAATTTAATTCCATGCAGAACTCTGGTTGCCATGGCAACCGAAAGAAAAAACTTTAAATATCTTCTTTTAAAAAACTCAAAGAGCTAGAGCTTAGATATTTGGCATGAAACATCTTCTAGTGAGTGTCTACCAAGTTTGTTCAAATAAAAGCCCTGGGGTCAAAATTGGCCCCGCCCCGGGGGGTCATTGATTTTCCCTATATGCATATAGTAAAAACTTAAAAAATCTTCTTTTAAAGAACCCAAAGAGCTAGGGCTAAGATATTTAGCATGACACATGTTCTAATGGGTGTCTACCAAGTTTGTTCAAATAAAAGCCCTGGGGTCAAAATTGGCCCCGCCCCGGGGGGTCATTGATTTTCCCTATATGCATATAGTAAAAACTTAAAAAATCTTCTTTTAAAGAACTCAAAGAGCTATAGCTAAGATATTGAGCATCAAACATGTTCTAATAGGTGTCTACCAAGTTTGTTCAAATAAAAGCCCTGGGGTCAAAATTGGCCCCTCCCCAGGGGGTCATTGATTTTCCCTATATGCATATAGTAAAAACTTAAAAAATCTTCTTTTAAAGAACCAAAAGAGTTAGAGCTAAGATATTTAGCATGAAACATGTTCTAATAAGTGTCTACCAAGTTTGTTCAAATAAAAGCCCTGGGGTCAAAATTGGCCCCGCCCCGGGGGGTCATTGATTTTCCCTATATGCATATAGTAAAATCTTAAAAAATCTTCTTTTAAAGAACTCAAAGAGCTATGGCTAAGATATTTAGCATCAAACATGTTCTTATAGGTGTCTACCAAGTTTGTTCAAATAAAAGCCCTGGGGTCAAAATTGGCACCGCCCTGGGGGTCATTGATTTTCCTTATATGTGTATTATCAGCAAAAACTTAAAAATCTTCTTTGAAAAAACCCAAATAGCTAGAGTTAAGATATTAAGCATGAAACATCTTTTAGTGTATGTCTACAAAGTTTGTTCAAATAAAAGACCTGGGGTCAAAATTGGCCCCGCCCCGGGGGTCATTGATTTTCTTTATATGTGTATAGCAAAAACTTAAAATCTTCTTTGAAAAAACCCAAATAGCTAGAGTTTAGGTATTAAGCATCAAACATCTTCTAGTAAGTGTCTACAAAGTTTGTTCAAATAAAAGCCTTGGCCCGGCCCCAGGGGTGTCATTGTTTTTAACTATATGTGTATAGTAAAAACTTAAAAAAAATCTTCTTTTAAAAAGCCCAATGAGCTAGAGCTTAGATGTTTAGCATGAAACATCTTCTTATGGGTGTCTACTAAGTTTGTGCAAATAAAAGCCCTTGGGTTAAATTGGCCCTGTAACGTTGGGGGTGGGGGTTGGGGGGGCCTATATACAGGTGAGCGACCTCAGGGCCATCATGGCCCTCTTGTTTATTGTGTCTGATTGATTTTTGCAGATTTTTTTGACTGTTTATATTTATAACTATTTACACCTTACAAGTTTGTCTTGTTTATTTTTCTTTCCCAGAGAAACCATATGGTGATCAAGCATTATTTATGAAAAGAAGAACGTATGATATGGTTGGTGGATTTCCTCCATATTTTCTTATGGAAGATTATATACTGGTATGTAAGAATCATATTATGACATGTTTTATATGTGACTTGCTGATGTGTTCTCTACATGAAATTAGATTGCCATTTTTTTGTAGAAATAGAGTGAAATAAAATGTTGGTGCAATGATAAATAACTGGTTGAAAAAAATATATCTTAAGAGTATCTAGATCTGGTTTTATATGAGGCCTGTTATTTTTGAGATTACTTGATTGAAAAATGTATTGTTACATTATGATCTTTATATTATATTTCACATTTTATTTATGCTATACATGCTTATTATATACTTATAAATGAAATATTGATGAAATAAAATGCGTATTTTCATTTTCCGTATTTTCACTGTAAAAATTTATTTTTCACTACAGTGAAACATATTTTCCGTATTTTCACTGGTGTCTTGCCGGACTACTTTCTTTTAAATTCTGCCATTACACAAAATTTAAGGGAAAGTCTTTCAAATTTTACAGCAAAAAAGACAAAAAATATATATAATAAACAGAAAATTCAAGTTTTTTCTATGAATACATGATTTATTTTCATCTTGTGGCATGAAAATTACCATATTTCACTCGTGGCTACCGCCACTCATGAAATATTTATTTTCATACCACTCGATGAAAATAAATCATGTATTTATAGAAAAAACTTGAATATCCTCTATTTATTATATACTTACAAATGAAATATTGAGAAATATTGATGAAATAAAATGCGTATTTTCATTTTCCGTATTTTCACTGTAAAAATTTATTTTTCACTGCAGTGAAACATATTTTCCGTATTTTCACTGGTGTCTTGCCAGACTACTTTCTTTTAAATTCTGCCAGTACACAAAATTTAAGGGAAAGTCTTTCAAATTTTAATGTCAAAAAAAAGAAAAATGTATATAATAAACAGAAAATTCAAGTTTTTTCTTTAAATACATGATTTCTTTTCATCTTGTGGCATAAAAATTACCATATTTCACTCGTGGCTACCGCCACTCATGAAATATTTATTTTCATACCACTCGATGAAAATAAATCATGTATTTATAGACAAAACTTGAATATCCTCTATATATTCGACAGCAACCTAGTGACACTACATCAGCAGCATCATATCGAATCACACTTGAATACAATACAGAATTTTTTGACTGACAGGTTGTTTATATGCGTGTCATAGATGCAGTAAACATTGTAAAAATGTACAGGAATTCCATAAATTTCATTATTCATTAATTCTCTGATGTCTATTTATAGGTAGAAAAGTTAAGAACAATTGGTCATATTGGTGTAGTGAAAGGATCACCTGTTGTAACTTCATACAGAAGATGGAGAAAATGGGGATATTTTAAGGTATTACCTTTAGTTTATTCAAGGCCAAAAAATAGAAAAGTTCCATATTTGGTCTTTGTGATGACCCTTAACATTATTATTTTCCTTTCCTCTTTTTCAAAATCTTTTCTTTGAAATATATTAAATAAAGAATATGTGTATATAGAAATAATATTTAAAAAAAAAAGAATACCCATGTTTGTTTTTCTTGGTAGTGGACCAGAAATAAAACCATTTTTTGACCATATGTTCTGAATGATTTTTTTAACCCTTTACCTCATATATACAAGAGGCTAAAAATGACCCCAGATTGATCATAAGGTAACGTGTAACCAACGCTGAAAAGCATTTGACTTTATCTCAATCCATTTAGAAGTTGCGGCACTTTGAAATCAATTTTGATGGAAAAAATCAACGCAAAATAGTGATTTTTGGCAATTTTTGCCATGGTAACAGGAAATTTAAGCCTGAGCATGTTGTTGCAAGGGCAATGGTCCAGTCAACATTTGTGTCAAGTTTGATTAGTATTGAAGCAGTTTTTATAGTTTTAACCCATTACTTCATGAGCATTTTGTGAAAACTGGCTGTTTTCATTGAAAAGTCTTCCGTTACAAGTTCAAATTGCTATAATACTATAAAAACTACTTCAAGACTAATCAAACTTGGCACAAATGTTGACTGGACCATTGCCCTTGCAACAACATGCTCAGGCTTAAATTTTCTGTTACCATGGCAACGAGGGGACATCTCAAAATTGCCAAAAATCACTATTTTGCGTTGATTTTTTCCATCAAAATTGATTTCAAAGTGCTGCAACTTCTCAATGGATTGAGATAGAGTCAAATGCTTTTCAGCGTTGGTAACACGTTACCTTATGATCAATCTGGGGTCATTTACAGCCTCTCACAAGTCCAAAATTTTCTTGGCGATGAGGGGGACTCCGCCCCCCTTCAAACCCCCCAAACAGAAGGGGGCACATCCCCCTTCTGGCAACCCCCTGATGTATCTTTTGGTTGGGGGGCCGCGCCGAAAAAGAGGTCACTTTTTTAAACAACATTTCTCAAACAAAAACAAGTGTTTGGGGCCTAAATAAGGCATTTTTTCATCATTTGAGACAACAAAAAAAGGGGGGGGGGTGAAAAAGGCGTTAAAAGGCGTGTATATGAAGTAATGGGTTAACAGAAAATGATGAAAATACTTGAAATTATCCTAAATCGCGTTTTTTCATGTTTAAACATGGCCTGTCATATAAATTTGAAGAAAAATTGTTGTTTTGTAGATTTTTTTATTTTTTTCATTAACCCATTACTTCATGAGCATTTTGTGAAAACTGGCTGTTTTCATTGAAAAGTCTTCCGTTACAAGTTCAAATTGCTATAATACTATAAAAACTACTTCAAGACTAATCAAACTTGGCACAAATGTTGACTGGACCATTGCCCTTGCAACAACATGCTCAGGCTTAAATTTTCTGTTACCATGGCAACGAGGGGACATCTCAAAATTGCCAAAAATCACTATTTTGCGTTGATTTTTTCCATCAAAATTGATTTCAAAGTGCTGCAACTTCTCAATGGATTGAGATAGAGTCAAATGCTTTTCAGCGTTGGTAACACGTTACCTTATGATCAATCTGGGGTCATTTACAGCCTCTCACAAGTCCAAAATTTTCTTGGCGATGAGGGGGACTCCGCCCCCCTTCAAACCCCCCAAACAGAAGGGGGCACATCCCTCTTCTGGCAACCCCCTGATGTATCTTTTGGTTGGGGGGCCGCGCCGAAAAAGAGGTCACTTTTTTAAACAACATTTCTCAAACAAAAACAAGTGTTTGGGGCCTAAATAAGGCATTTTTTCATCATTTGAGACAACAAAAAAGGGGGGGGGGGGTGAAAAAGGCGTTAAAAGGCGTGTATATGAAGTAATGGGTTAACAGAAAATGATGAAAATACTTGAAATTATCCTAAATCGCGTTTTTTCATGTTTAAACATGGCCTGTCATATAAATTTGAAGAAAAATTGTTGTTTTGTAGATTTTTTTTTTTTTTTCATTAACCCATTACTTCATGAGCATTTTGTGAAAACTGGCTGTTTTCATTGAAAAGTCTTCCGTTACAAGTTCAAATTGCTATAATACTATAAAAAACTACTTCAAGACTAATCAAACTTGGCACAAATGTTGACTGGACCATTGCCCTTGCAACAACATGCTCAGGCTTAAATTTTCTGTTACCATGGCAACGAGGGGACATCTCAAAATTGCCAAAAATCACTATTTTGCGTTGATTTTTTCCATCAAAATTGATTTCAAAGTGCTGCAACTTCTCAATGGATTGAGATAGAGTCAAATGCTTTTCAGCGTTGGTAACACGTTACCTTATGATCAATCTGGGGTCATTTACAGCCTCTCACAAGTCCAAAATTTTCTTGGCGATGAGGGGGACTCCGCCCCCCTTCAAACCCCCCAAACAGAAGGGGGCACATCCCTCTTCTGGCAACCCCCTGATGTATCTTTTGGTTGGGGGGCCGCGCCGAAAAAGAGGTCACTTTTTTAAACAACATTTCTCAAACAAAAACAAGTGTTTGGGGCCTAAATAAGGCATTTTTTCATCATTTGAGACAACAAAAAAGGGGGGGGGGGTGAAAAAGGCGTTAAAAGGCGTGTATATGAAGTAATGGGTTAAAGGAATTTGAACTTGTAACGGGAAACTTTTCAAAGAAAACAGCCATTTTTCACAAAATGCTCATGAAGTAATGGGTTAAATAGTGAATTTGTTGATTTTTTTGTTTCTTTCATTGTTTGAGGAAGTGTGTTATGTTAATTTTTCAATAATTTAAAGGACACATTGATGTATGACAGCTTGTGGAGGAAGACCCTTTAGTTTATGACCCTTGATTTTATGTTTTCTTATTTTTGTATGTGCATAATTTGTCTTTAAATTAACCTCTAGTTAGAACGTACCTTTTGGATATTTTGCTTACTTATTGTCATTCGATTATATAAAATACTTTGTACAATACATGTAAGTTTATTGAGCTACAACATATTTTGACATATCTGCACTGTTTGCTATTCAGTCAGTACATTTTTGTTAAATTTTAACTTAAGGAAAATGAATGGTTTTGCCCAGATTGAAAGATGGACAGGTTCATTTATGATACTGAGGATGGTAAGGGTGAACCTGTGCTTTTCTCATATGAGGAAAAATTGTCCTGATCTGTGTAGAATTCCATACTGAGAGGCAAAAAATTGTGGCTTGGCCAACATTTTCTGTTAATGAGTTTATTTAAACGTTTCTGTTTTGTCATCATCTTGGCAGTTGATATTGTCTGTTTCAGGTGACCGGTCTTAGCCAGCTTATTATTATAGCATACAAACTGGGTTTTCATCCAAACACATTGGCAAAATGGTATTATGGGAACAAGATAAAAATGGATTGAACTTTGTGATATATAGCTTTATGCTTCGACCTTTTTTGACTGTTTTTTACAGTGCCAAAAGTTGTTATATTGTGACTGTGATTAATGCATAATGTTGCAAGGTAAAGAGGAAAGAAAACATTTGAAATACTAGTAAAAGTGTCTTTCAAATCGTATTTATTTAAGGGCGTGCTGGATACTTCAAAGACTGACAATAACTTCTGAAACTGAATCAATTTATGAAAGGCACACTAAGCCTAAAAAATAGACATGCTTTTCTTTCTGTGAAAGGGCAATTATGTGTTGAATAATGGATTTAGATTTTATGAGATGCATAATACACCCAAGTTAATAGATAAATTGTGAAATTTGAAGCATTAAATGTAAATAAAGTGGACTTCCATACAAAATACTTAATCAAAATACTTCCAAAATGCAAAAGAACTAAAAGATACCTCAGGTATATTGCCAATGAGCAACTTTATAGAAACTGTAACAGGATTTCAAAAATATATATAAAAAAATGAAAGTATGTTGTACCAAAAAAATTGGTTAAAATTGGTGTAAAAACAATTAAAACGAACAGTATGCCTCAGAAATGAACAATTATTTCCCTCTTTATTTTTATAATAATTTGTGTAAAACTCTGTCTGTAGATCCCTTAGGAATGAACATTATTTACTTTGTCATGCTCTTGTGTGAATAACATGCCCATTTTAGAGTGAACATTACTATAAAGTAGTAAATAGTGTTTTATATGAGAAAAACTGAGTAGTGCTAAAATAAAGGGAACATTATGTAGCTTGTAATGTCACTACATTATAAATGCTCACTCGGAAGTACCCCCATCAAGTAATATGAGCCGTGCCGTTACAAAACCAACATAATGAGTTTGCGACCATCATGGATCCAGACCAGCCTGCGCATCCGCGCAGTCTGATCAGGATCCATGCTGTTTGCTTACAAACCCTATAACAAGTAGAGAAACTGATAGCGAACAACATGGGTCCTGATCAGCTGGTCGCGAACGCACTATGTTGGTTTTGTCGTGACGCGGCTCATATTTAGTGTGTAGTATGCACTTAAAGGTTAATATAACTCACTGGGTAAAAATCTAGTGAGTAGTGTAACTAGTGGTCATTTAAAGTAAAATGCACACTAAAAATATTTTGCGAGTACTGTTAATATAATAGTGAACACTAATCATCAAGTGATTAATATATACTGAGAAATGTTCATTTTATGATGAAAATTACTAATTTGTAATACCAAGTGCGTGCCGTCACCCTTAGATGGCCTGTAAGTATATAAAATATATCAACTGTTATGGATAAAAAATGTGGCGATAGTGAATGTGAGATGTCAATTTAGCATAGGGTTGTAACCATTTTAAATTATTTTGTGCATGGTCTCTTTGTATATTTTTTCATACAGATATAGGCTATAGGTTTATACGATTTTATATGACTAGTCATACTGTTTATTAAATCGTTTTAATCTTTATTTGTTCTTTTAAAATGTATTACAAACATAATTTAAGCAGAATAAAAATATGCAAAATTTCGATCACTCTTGGGATAAATTCAAATGATTTTTTTAAATGGTATTTTTTCTCTATTTGTTCGTTCAGACACTCTGTCCATCCAGTGTTACACAGTCACCTTCGCTACCTTTTAAGTCTAATGTTTGAATGTAAAGCCTGTTAATATCTTCAAATTTATTCTCAAGTAAGCTTAGTCGCTCACTTGTTCCGTCTACAATTGATTCTGGCGGGAAGAAACTGAGGTCACACGAATGCGTCCTTAACCTTGACGATTGTCTTTGATAGCACGTGTTACACATTGTTTGTGTGCTGTTTATGTCACACGTGCATGAGTGGTACGAAATTGTTTCAGCACTCCTCGATCGGATACTTCTAGAGTGTGTTGTTCTTGTACGTCGTAAATAAATGCCCGAATCGTCGCTAGAGGGCGAGTTACGAAGATGGAATAGTTTAGTGAACAGCCATGACTTGTGTTTATTTTGATAAACAAACGCAGCGTTTATTGCAGAAAATAGCGCCATTTTGTCGTCTGTATTTATATTCACTGCATTTGAATTTGTAGAATTCATTCTGGAATGTAGATGTTTTATAAAAGCTTCTGTGTTAGTTGGTAGATTAAACTGAGGTCCGAGAAATGGCTCCCTAATTACCGCAGAATCAAGTGTGTACTCGAATCTCACCGAAACAAACTTGGAGGTAATGGCGGGATTTTGACATACTTCATTTACAAACATTAGAAATTTTCTGTCCATGGCGTTTGCTAAATCAGTTGCAATGACCTCACCAGAGCCAATGATGGTCAACAGTTTCTGGGCCCATTCAGAATGAATGATGCAGACGACGTCAACATTATCTGGTATTTTCTCAACCGCACTTTCTTCGAAATTTGCAGACGTCAATGAAGTTCCGGTGGGAATATTATCGTCTGCTACAACAATATAGTTCGTAGTGGTCTTAATAAGGTTTTCTAAACTTTCAACAGCTGTTTTGTGTGAAGAATGATCAGATGTTTGAATTATATGTATGGTAGGCTTTTTCGTTTGTTGATCATCTGCTATTGAAGTGAAATCTGAAAAGGAGTTGTAACAGCTATTTTAGTAAGTTTTAAGCTACGACTTTTTCGCATACGCAATCTGCTTGGTGTACAACTTCATTTAATTTAGATAAATTGGTAGTTTAAAGCATGACACAACACAATAATCTACGAAATTCAGACATCAAAATAAAGCTTTTTTACATTTTAAATGAGTATTCTACATGATGGATCCTTAAATTATGTTAAGAATAATAATTATTACCAGTGAAGTACATATAAAGTGTTATTTTAGTGATTACCAAAACAATGAGATGCAATTTATTGCAAAGAAAATGCATTTTAATATAAACCCCTCATTACATAAATTACAGTACAAAGTACATGTAATCACATTTTAGTCTTGAGTTTCATGGACATGCCACGATTTCCGACTGTATTGCATTTACCAGCTACATGTACTAGAATCTATAGATCTCCTTGTGTTATAGAGTTTAGCCCATAACATTAATGGCGCCACAGTATTATACATGTACCGCCTTATCGGGTACCCATTAACACCTGTGTATAGTATGTGTATCTCATGGAACTTGATAGGACTCAGACCGGAGACCTACACGTTCCAAAGTGAGTGTCCTACAACTGGATCAATGCTCTCAACATTACGTTTGTGCAGGCTCATAAGATAGAAGTTACAAGTTCTGATATAAAATTCTTACCCGTATGTTGTCGTTTCCTGAATATCTCTGGCAAGTTTATACACGACGGTATGATGTTCTTATACCAGACGAACCATATTGACAAGGCTATGATCACAACGAGTAATGTTACCAAAACTGGCGCCAAAATTAAACCAACCAAGGAATCGTCTTCAGCTAAAGGCAAAACAAGGTTGAATTACCCAGAAATCGATTAAAAAGTCGATCTTTTTGTTATAGGTTGTTTTCAAAATTACTCGTAGTATACAAATATAATATTCGACGAAAAGCGACCATATTTGTGGTTTAGTCTTTATTAATAACCGGTAATAATACTTTATAATAAAAAAATATTTTATTTCTTTCTACATAATTTTAGTTATAATCAACAAGAACAATTGGAATTTTCTTAATAATCTGTGGAAATCGACCTTGATATAATTATCTTCTTTTCATAATTATCTTTAAAAGTCCATCTTTTTGTTATTTTTGTATATATTAAGATTCGTGAAAATTGGCATTATTCCTTCCATTTTAAAAATCCATTAATATTAATTCTTGGAAATCTTTATTGTCTTAATGTGTATAAAAAATTAAAAATGGATGAAAATTCGATTTCATTTTCAAAAGAAAAGTTCGAGATATTGCTAGTTATTCGCATTGCATGCCGCATTTGACATGTTTTTTTTCTCAAATTTTCTAATGGATTGTCGTCATACAACAATCCTTTGTGCAAGACCTTCTAATAGCTTTGACATTGACCTTCAAGGTCAAATGTTTGAATTTTTCTTGATTTTGCTATAATTGACTATAACTTTGTTATTTTTAAATGGATTGTCTTCATACTAGGACACAAAAATTCTTTTGACAAGACCTTTGAGTAGACCAAATTGATTCTGACTTTCACTCATCAATGACCTTGACCTTGAAGGTCAAAATATTGTTGTTGTTTTTGTTGTTGTTGTTGTTGTTGTTGCTGTTGTTGTTTATGACTATAACTCTGTAGATAATGAAATTATTGTCTCCATGATTATGCACAACAAATCTTGGGACAAAATATTAAAAAAGATTTAATTGAACTTGACCTTAATTTTTACCCTTACACTTAATGTCAAATTATTTAAGTTTTCTCAAATTGCCCATTACTTTGTCATTTATTTATGGATTTGATTAACACTTATGGCAAAACAGACAGGTTGAATTATTTTGATATGACCTTCACATTTAACTGACCTTGATCGTCAAGGTTAATTTATTGAAAAGTGCTTAAATTGTCATTACTTTGTTGTTTATTTACACATTTGAATATACTTGGACAAAAGAATTAACACATGACAAAACCGGTGCATTGAATTATTCTGATATTTGGCATTCATGGTCAAATTACTGAAAATGATTACTTAAAATGTCAAAACTACATGTAATTTATTCATGGATTTGGTTCGCTCTTGAATTTGTTTTAGTTCGATTGTGTTAAACTTATTGACATACTCTCGAATCCATTCTTTGAATCAGACAGTACTAAGCAATTAGTGTAAAGTTCCTTGTCCAATGAAAAAACGACTTGAACCCATGCGGCCAGGAATTCCTGTTTTTTTTTTTAACTACATTATTATTTATGAGGTCCTTGCCTTTTTTACACGTTGAACGGTTTTAGCAAGTAAATGTGTGATGTCCTTCCTTCAGCACTTCAAGTCTTTAATTTGTGTGCTGAAGCACAGAAAGGATGACGTTTAATTTGACTGTTTACAGTTGCTTTTGTGTTTTAAATGACGGGCGCGCGAGTCAGCCACGATCGTGCAATCTGACCACGCTGTTGGTAGCTCAATATTTGTATTTAGATATTAAACGGATTGTTTCAAATTCAAAAAACGGGAAATACTTTACTTAAAATCATACCATAACAGTCCCACGTTCTAAAAGAACGATGCATTTTATTCGTATAAACATGTTTGTGTTGGAAATGAAATCATATGAATTTTACTAGTCCCATACTAGTATCCCCACTATGTTGTTATTTCACCACTTTCAGTGCATTTTGAAATGTGACATGTTTTCATAATATATTTTTGTTATGAAATATTTTTCATTAATACTCTTTTCAACTGTTGTAAAATCAGATATTTTTGCGAGACCAACATTTTGCGAAATCAATATTTTGGACTGTTAGGCGAGGTTACACGAATTTCTACTTTCTGTTTTGTTGAATTTATATTGTGAAAATCTTTTTTATGAGCGAAATTTAATCCATCGTTAAACATCTTACTTTACAATTATGATATAAGTCTGATGAAGGCTAGAATACGGTCCTTAAATTTGTGTTTTCGCCGGGAGTTTTGCACGTTCGTACTAGAAAAAGAAAGTAAGACGTAAAAAACCACCTTTAATGCCGTTATACAGGCATTACATAAATATGAAACAAAGATACTATTTAGGTAGAATGATAGGTGGGTTACGGTTCAAACTTTGGAATAAAAACAAAAGTGGGAAATACGCGAAAGTAGACACTAAAGCAATGACAGCTTGAATAATATAAGGTTTGCAAGAAATACGCATGGGAAATTTAAGAACAGGGGCGTTTGTACAAATAAACAACACACGAATTTGGCATGTTAAGCCCAATGTAAGAAACCAACATCTACTGCTTGTTATATTACTGCCCCCATTTCTATAAACTTACATGTGTGAGTAAACATATTTTGTAGCTTTTACAAAAGAAATATTTTACAATAGTTGTATATCTGTTCAGTTACCATCACTATAGGATGAGTAATTTTCAAAATAATATAATATGTTGTTTCTTAGTCCTTACTATATGTAAGTAGATCTTGGTTTGTAAAAGGGTTAAGATAAGCTGTTGGGGATGGGCAGGGGTGTCATTGAAAGAACGCTAAATTGACAAGGAAAGCTAGGAAAGGAAGGAAATAAACACATGCGAAACAAATGGAAATGAAATTTTATTAAAACAACAGTGACATATTTCAGGTGAAATAACGCAATATACAATTGAAATAAGTAGCTATAGCAACATAAGGTAAAGGACACTAAGCAAGGGCTACGTAGCCGAAAACAATCACCATAACCTCTCATTTTCGTCTTTTAATTTGATTGGCTTTTATTATATGTACATGTTTTTCAGAACTTTTTCTACATAAAAGCATGAACAATTACGACCTGACAGACAAAATTTGTATCAGACTCGAGTGTGATCTGGAATGAAGTTGCTAGCGTTATACTTATTACGTAATGGTTGAATATGTACACAGTATTTCATGAAATAATTCTTATAGCAGTATCTATACCTATATTCATAGTACACGTAATCTCAGCTACAAAAATTTGACAGGGAAAGTAACTCAAAAAGACCATAAAAGGTCCCAAAGTGTTCTTATTAACTCTTAGGACAACAAATGTCTTAAATGGATTTGACAAAACCATATATGAGCCGCGTCATGACAAAACCAACATAATGGGTTTGCGACCAGCATGGATCCAGACCAGCCTGCGCATCATCGCAGTCTGATCAGGATCCATGCTGTTCGCTTACCGACCCTATTACAAGTAAAGAAATTGATAGCGAACAGCATGGATCCTGATCAGACTGCGCGGATGCGCAGGCTGGTCTGGATCCATACTGGTCGCAAACCCATTATGTTGGTTTTGTCGTGACGCGGCTCATTTCATTTTTGGAGAAAAATGCAAAATACGTACATGTATTGACTGAAAAGCGAGCAGTGCAGACCATGATCAGACAGTGCCGACTGACCTTGGTCTGCACTGGTCGTTTTTGTCAAAAAACATTTTGAACAGCCAATTTTTTGTTTAAATACAAATAGAGTTTATATATAAAAGAAAAAATAAAGAGAAAACAGTAAGCAAATAAAAATTGAAACAAAGCACAATTTAAAATACAATACTTGAAAGCAAAACGACATTATACTATGTACATGTATATGAAAAATATAATAATATAAGAGATTTGTGTAAAATTAGAATGTACCAACAAGGTGGCATGTAATGTAGCATTTGAGATAATTATATAAAAATATGTCCAAATGAAAAAATCAACCTTTTGGGTATTGCAATTACTCTATCGTCTGACACAACCAACAGTTTGCTGGGGATATTAAGTTCTGATGCAAAAAAAAGTATCCACAAAAAGCAAAGGGGAAAAAATCGATAAAATATGCTATATTTGCCATTATCAAAATATTTTACTGTAATTTTGCAGCAAATCCAACTTGGATCACAGTGTAACATTGCTAAGCAATGTGTGAATAACAAGCACCTGTTATTTCCGGTCGCTTGTCGGTTGGCCACAAGCAATCTTCAACTTATAAAAGGAGGGGGGAAAAGTGTCGCATATGGGACAGAAGCAATAGAGTTTTGGCAACAATTCAACTTAAAAGGTATAAAGCTATATTGGACTGTCTCGAATCTGTATAATATGATAAAATCATAATTATTAAAGTACCTATACTAGAACTGTCAAGTTGCAGTTAGGGAACATTTATTCTGCTTACTTACAATATAATAAGTGTGAGTTAAATAATAGAGACACATTTTATTAAAATTTTCTTTTGGACAGGACCATAAGAAAGGCTTGTTTTGTACAGTTAAGAAAATGAATATGGATATATTTACTATTTATAGATAAATATAGCCTTAAACCTTTTAAAGACAAGCATACAACATTCAAAACGCATAGACAACTGAAAAATAAGGTTTGTTCAGAGAAGTTACAAAATTACATGATGACAAATAAAGTATTACGACACATGCACACAGTATTGCTCATAAGCCCATACTTATCAAGTCAATTAAAATTATTATTTCACTATTCATAGTGAAATGTCAAGATTTTTAAAACCTTTTTTCGAATTTTGTTTTACATAAACTAAAGTGTCCGTTTTAGTTTAAAAGAGAAATATTGATATTGTAAATGTTTCTTTATTCCGATTTGTGTATATATAAAAATGTATAAATAAACCTAAGAAGATTTGATACGTAGAGCTAAAAATGAACGTAGCAAATCATCCTCTCAGAGCCAGACTATAACGTGCCGTAATAATGGTGTCAAGAACTGCCAAAAATACCATTTGTTAGAGTCTCAGAGCCACAGTGGATGCATTATGTCTTGCAAGCCTTTGCAATTTCTTGTGTACCATGTCTTGCTGAGACAAGCACCTGTTACTTCCGGTCACTTATAGGATACAAAACCGGAAATAGACTAGTTATACACCGTGACTCTCCTGGTAATTGATATTAAAACTCATTTTAATATACTGTATTTCCAGATTTAAAACAGCCCAAGTCCATTATTCAAAATAATCAGTTAAAAGTTCACTTTAATGAATTTTACTTAATTGAAAGCCCATTTATTCAAGGGGTGTGGGGGTTGATTTAGCATTTATAATGTGAATATTTTACAAATGTAGCGGTGTAACATCAGAATTTTACATTTTAAAGTAGGGCAAGTTTTTTTGTTTTTTGTCTTTTTACAAAATGAAGGGTAATAGTACAAAGTGTGAATAATCTGGCTCTGTGATTTTGATACAAAAGTTTGTAAAGATAAAAAATAAATGTGAAGGTTAGCCAAGCAACATGGAAGAAATTGGGGCAACATCGTGGTATTTGAAGATCGGCTTACTTAAAGTTTCCGTCCATTTTGTAACATATATCGTTTTTGTATACCCAACACATGGTTCACACTGTCTACTTTCATTTGTTCCAAAATAGCATATGCAAGAATTATCGTCGCCAATACCAACGTTTGTTTCTATAGGCGTTAACTGAAGAAAAAATAGTTGACAAATAATGTTACATTGTCTGGATTATATTGCACATGTATTTCATTGACTTTTGGAATGGTAATGTATTGAAATTACTTAAATGTTAAAATACAGTCGACATCCGTTCAAGAGGCCTCTCAATAAAATGGTAAAATATAGATCTACATGTATAGTAATACATGCACTGAGAAGGAATGTGCTAATGTGCATTTCTGTATCAACTTTTTGTGAAATTACTCACGATTGCAAACGAGTTTTAAGTCCCTCTTTTATACAAAGGTTCTGATCGTGATATTAGCCAAAAACAGAACTAGTCATCGTAAACAATTTATATAAAAATTATAAAAAGAAATGTTTGTTTTCTTAAAGTATGATTAACTTATCTACAATTAGAAAAAAAATACTGAAACACTTTCTTGTAAAACCTGCCACAAAATAGGTAAATTACGTAAGTTTTAACAAGTCCATATTAGTTGTTGTACGTATTAGACAACGTATTAGACAACATGACATGATGTTAAATGCCAAAAAAAAAGAAGTAAAAAAACACAACAGCACCGCATAGTACCTATTTGAAAGACCGTACGTCTTCAGTATAAGCACATTTTAATAGATGAACAATTATTAAATTTTGTTAAAGTGTTACCTTTAGAGTGTAGTTTCCCAATATTAAATCATTTACTACGAAGAAATTCTGAAATATAAACGACAAACAGAATATAATTATTATGCTCAGAGCCATATAGTTACATAGTTAAATATATAGCATCAGTAAAATAAAATTTTTGTAATACATACATCTTTATCACAGGAAAAATTAAATAATTTATACTGTTTTAAATGCAAATATTATTGAACTGGAATAATGTGTATTATATAAAAATAATTATTTGCTTTCTTTTAAATTTGAATTATTATAGATTCTAATCTTTTAACATTTCAGATAGTCGTAACAACTCGGCTTTCTCCATCAGCTTCGTGTAACGACGTTAGTCCGAGGTTGATAATCACATTCGGTATTTTACGCTTTATCAGTAGCATGCTCGGCATTCTCCGGTTGTCATGTAAATCGGCACACAAACCATCTACCGATAAAAGCCGAGAGATACCAAAGTGATGCACGTGAATTTCATAGTCAACTAAATGCTATTTAATTTTATCAATGCAAAGAGTTTCTAAACATGACGTTAAAGTACTGACAATTTTAAAATCTTACCTCTGAAAGATAAAACAGTTTTTGTGCATTTTGTAAATATTCTCTGTTTTGATTATTCAATATCATAATTTCCATATAGTCAATTGCTTTCGTTTTTCCACTGACTTGCACAGATATATTTACAGATGTGGCATTTAATTGATTACAGTCAATATACACATTGATGTCTGAGTGATATTCTGAAATTGAAACAATGTTAAGCTTATTTTATTTTGAAGAGCAAGTCAAAATTTCTAAATATATAAATAAATTCATGAAAGTTATCGAACATAAATTTTCGGTTCTTTCCGTTATACTTCGGTAATGATATTTTATGAATATAGACGAGGTGTACCTATCAAACAAGACATACCTAACTAAGCATTAATCGATTCAAATTTAATTCTTAATGTGTTATGATTCGCTGAAATGACATTTTATTCTCATCAAATATACAGAACTCTTTATTATCAAAAAGCATAGATGAGAAATAATATAGATCCTGTATGTTTTGTGATTGATATTGTTACTGTATGTATCATACACTTGCAAAATATTATATATGTATATAATTATGCAAATAAAACAATTTTCAAACATCCAAGAATATGTAAAATGTATGCTGCAAATATTTGTGCACATTATATTTAATCAATAAGTTACATGCATTTATTTCTTATTGGAAAATTTGACTTGGAATTTATAGAAAATAAATTTCTAATTACCTCCCTTTATTTACGCAAAATGTTAAATTGGGTAATATCTTTATAAATAATGCTTATTTGAACTTACAAGATTGACAAATCTTAATTTGAGCATCATATTTATGAAATAAAACCATGAAAAAAATGTGTTACAGGATCTTTAAGCTCATTACAAAATAATTGAAACAAAAATATTGATCAACAAAAATGAAAGCCTGATCTTTTAAGAAAGTCACCATTAAGTTTTTCATTTCCGTCCATAGTTTCTATGACACCTGTAGATTGGTACTGATCAGGGGGAAATGGGAGGGGTTTAATTTCTACGTCAAATCCCCCAGCATCTGAATTATTTACGTAAAATTTCGTCTGAAATATAAAAAAAAACGAAAATCGTTCAAGTAAGTATAATTGGTCAATGATAATGTAAGTCATCACCAAACAAGTTATGATTACACAAATAACAAGCTCTTTATGTTTCTTGCTTAATTACAATATCATAATAAAATCTTCCTTTTTCCAAATTGACAATTTAATGGCACATCAAGATTAAAATGGAAAATATTTTGTTGGAATACAATATTTATTGCTTCCATTTAATTATCTAATGTTGAAAATTTAGTGGTTACAGTTTATCCGGAAAGAAACAATTTTCTTAGCAACAATTTCATGGAAGATATTGTCTGTTTTAGAGTGATTTTTGTATCATAAAAACGTTTTCCAGGGGAGCAATAAATGCTTATTTAAAACAAGCTCTTTAAGCTTAATTAGAACTGAATATGACAAGCCTTTAAGTCAACCAATGTGTGACCAAGCTCTTTACTGATGATAGATATTTTTGTACTTTTTATACTGAAATCTCTTAAAATATGAATTGACTGTTCCATATTCAAAGGAGGACAAATCCATTATACAAAATTATCACGTTATGGTTTAAAATATAACTTTATCAAATACATGTTGCTACACAATGTAAAATGAGCCGTGTCACGACAAAACCAACGTAATGCGTTTGCGACCAGCATGGATCCAGACCAGCCTGCGCATCCGCGCAGTCTGATCAGGATCCATGCTGTTCGCTTACAAACCCTATTACAAGTAGAGAAACTGATAGCGAACAGCATGGATCCTGATCAGACTGCGCGGATGCGCAGGCTGGTCTGGATCCATGCTGATCGCAAACGGCACTATGTTGGTTTTGTCGTGACGCGGCTCAATTATAATGTTATCACAATAGAAAATGTAATCACCTTCATTAGGAGAATGAGATCCGATGCTTTCATGTCAGATAGGTCTATGACGCTGCACATTTTCTTCAAAAAGTTGTCGTAGCTATTTCCAAACTGTCTCACCTGAAATCCTTTTAGAAAGTTTACATTCCCTGGAAAAAAACATACACTTTGTTATGTCCAGGAAAAAATGCTTATCCATACTCAATTTGTTTTTATAAATTTTATTTATTTATTTATTTATTACATTTTTTGTAATCAGGTGGAACACAGAAGTAAACGCCTCGGATTACGTAAAAATATAGTTAAACCATCCGAAATTCTGCTAAAACAGTAAAATTTTCCGACACAAGAGGCACGTAAATTGTGCAATTTCACCTTTCTCCCGTAGATTACTTTAAGTCATTTAAAAATCTTTCGACAGATTTGGACACTTTTATTACGTTATTTTCCTAATGTTATGAGATATATTATATTATAAAAACCCGTTATATTTCATCAGTGCCTCGAAGATTACTTAGTTTTAGATTTTTTCCCCTTGTTTTCCGAATAGTGTTTATATATTTACCATTTGGGCTAACTGTCCATTCTGTGCTCGAGTTTGTGGTCTCCAGACTTTGTACTTTCGCCGGCCAGTTAATGCTATCAGGGTTTGTCCGGTTATATAGGTGCGAAAATAATTTCCGTAACTCGTTTTCATCACAGTCTGCAAATATATTTCATGCAACATTTTTCGTAATTGTTTGCTGAACAAAAATTTGCTAAACAAGATGACAAGGTTTGATTTTTTTTTTGGTTACTTTGAAAATACATTGGCAAGTTTTAGTATTTAAAGTTTAGCAAATCGCAAGTCTTATTACCAGCGTGTGTTAGCGAATCGCAAGTTTAATCATCAGCTATTTAGATTACAGAATTAGCAAATCCTGGGATTAACGATTAAGTCCCATGCAAATCGCAAGTTTAATCATCATCTACTTTAGGAATCAGAATTAGCGGATCGCAAGTTTAGATTTAATATTTAGCGAATCGCAAGTTTTGTCATCAATTATCATAAATTTTAAATCGTTCATTTGCAAGGTTAATCATCAGAAATTGTTTTTTGGGGTTTTTTTGTTGTTGTTGTTGTTTTTTGTTTGTTTTTGTTTTCCGATAAATCAAACTGATCGCAAATATTATCACAATAGGTGTTAGTTCATATACAATGTATAAATAAATTATCAAAATATTTATTCTCGGTCATCTTCTGTGGTCTTCAACTTAGCTATGGAGTTTGATCAAATAGTAAAGGGAAGGGATAGCGCATTTATATTATGCTAGATACAAAGTTAAATGCTAGCTCTGTTGGCCATTTTTGTCACTTCTCATATGCACTTTTAAGAAAGAGGTGAATAAATTAAGACCAACGTGTGCACAAATATCGATGACGTTGAAAATTTTAAAGTATTTCAGATACGCGTCGATTATTCTGACGTGACTTGTAGTAGCAAATTGATACGACCTACTGATTACTGTAAGAAATCATTCAGCAGACGGCGTATTACATCAATATGGTTAAATCTTAGATTATCTCTGTGTTTATTTACCAAGTTTGAATAAATATAGTGGATATCAACGGAATCACCATTTAAACCCCAATAAGCGGCAAGTAGTTTCAACTTAAAGACGTCAATATGCTACTGTTAGATAATAAATGTGCGATATGAGTGGTTCTTAAGTGCGTTTAACGTTGTAAATATAACACAGTTCCCTTTTTCGGCTATTTTAAGCTAACACTATACGAAAAAATGTTTCAAACATTTATATGACGCTTTATATGTATAACCAATGACATAAATTATTTATAAAATGAGAACTAAGGTCAACATGAAAAGGCGTTTATTCAATGAACGCAGTCCCCATAAACCCCGGCAACACCGAACCTACGACATGGAACCCAGCCAGGAATCGAACAAACATGGAGAGGACATAAGACACAGCAAGGACGAGACCCTACAACAGTCAATATCTTAATATACGAAAACCCAGGAAACACAACATATACACCAAAGAATGTATTCAATCAAAAAGCCTACATGGAAACCTAATATGCGGCAATATTTTTATAAATGAGCCGCGTCATGACAAAACCAACATAATGGGTTTGCGACCAGCATATAGATCAAGACCAACCTGCGCATCCGTGCAGTCTGATCAGGATCCATGTTGTTCGTTTACAAACCCTATAACAAGTAGAGAAACTGATAGCGAACAGCATGCAGCATGGATCCTGATCATTATTAATTAACTAACCCCAGAGTGAAGTGTAAATAATAAGGTACAATTTTCCATACAATCTGCTCATGTCCCTTATTGAAATCTGTTATTTTTTGCTTACAACAGATTAATTGAAATATGTTTATTAAATGTTACTTTTATGTCTATAAACGACACTATTTAATTTATTAATACCAGAGTTTAGTGTGAAGTATTTGCCGGGCACCATTTTCCATGCATACGGCAAATTTCCATAAAAAAACCCCATTTTTTTGGTTTAAACTACGGAATGCGTTCATTTTTACAAAATTAAATACTACATTGTATAAACAAAAAGTGATTAGTCTCTATAAATTGTGAAGAACGAGCATAAGTATTTTGAAAGAGTTTTAAAGTTCGTTCAATTTTAATATATCGATTCCAAATATAAACAAACATGTCCCAAGAAAAATGGTTTGTTGATATCATCCTTTTATTATATGATATTTTTGTGTGTAAATTATCCCTTTGAATTTGATAGATGACGCGCATATATACACACGCTTTTTTTGTTACCAATGTTAATATTCTTGTATTGAAAAAAATCATGCTATGTGTGTTGTATTTAAATAAATATCTTTAAAATGATTGATTAAGCTAAATATGTTCTCATTGCTTAACGATTGAAACCCTTCTTAAAATTGCAGCATAAAATTTTGTTTTGGAACTTTTCCTTCTGTTAACGTACAATGTTCACGCGTGTTAATAAAAATAGTAGCGTATGATTTATGCAAAGAAACATGAATAAATATTATAAAGTCAAATTATCGTCAAACATTTTTTTCTTTCGAGTACATGTACTCGAAATCGATACTCGGACGTTCGAGAGACTACTCGATTCACCGTTGCCAATCCATAAAAAAATCATTAGAAATAGCTGTTTTCATTTAGACGACATATTTATAACAAAGCTTTAAAAAATGTCTCGTTACATGTCCTGTGGGTATATGAAAATTACAAAATTAAGAAGAACACCATTTGTCAAAATAGGAATTTAGCACGCTCATTTAATAAAATTCATTTAAGTTTCTTGATTAAAAATTAATACCACGCCAAATGAATCAAATTCCGAGGTAAAATCGGCACGTGGCTATTCCGGAAACCCACGTCATTTCGTGCATACGGACATCAGATGTCACGATGTTTGTAACGATGGGAAGGGGTGGACGGCATGATCATGATACGAGATAGATAATCAGACGACAACAAATATACATGTATATAAAACCATCCCACAACAACGCTAAACATTGTACCCGTCTGCGGTCATCCGGATATTCAGTGCATTTTTTGAGAATATTTTAGTTGAGCACAAATAATACATGTATATATAACTTAACTATCCGATTTAATAATGTTAGATTAACTCCATAAAAAATAAACAAAATAATAAACGATTCTGAAAGTGACAGTTCACCCAATTGTTTTCATTGACAATGGAGCTTAATCGAAAAAATATACATGTATTTCCAATGATTGAAATGCACATGTATTTCCAATGATTGAAATATACATGTATTTCCAATGATTGATATATGATTGACTGGTATAATTGTGATTGACCAACAGTTGATACTGGAAAATGTTTAGAATGAAAAATAAATCTGACTAAAATATAAAAAGACTGTCCCACTCTTTTTATAAATTAGAATCTATACGTTACATGTAAATTCCAATGGATATTTACAGAAATTTTCTTAGGCAATGTGAATTATGTATCGTTCATGCGAAATAAATTTATAAAATTGACAGGATTTATGATAGAATGTAAATTTATTTTGACAATGCCAAAATGTTAACTTATTTTGTTTTTGACACTCACTATTTACCCGTAGACAAAATGCCACTTCAATAGTGATTTTTTTTCTCTCCATCAATGTACCACAATAATATTTTTAAACATTAATAATTTTAAGTACTTAGTAATTAGGCTCACTAGAATAGTCTGTCGGTCAGTCCCTAGATGTGTCGCATACCGCCCCTTCCCCCGCCGACACCGCCGCCGCCTACCCGTCCCTATCCCTATCATCATTACTATTAAACTACAATTTTTAACCCTTAAACAACGATTCTAACTTAACCTGCTGATTTTTTTGAGCTGTCAATTTTCAATTTTGGGGACATCAAGGTGGAAATTTAGAGTTAGTCAGCCATCAGTGTAGAGCCTGGCCAGACTGCGTGGGTGGCAAAGGCTAATCCGGGAGGTTGTTGATTAATAAAAAGAATCTGTTCTTTTTAATATTAATGAATCAATCGACATGCATATCATGGTTTTGATGAACTAAATAAAACCCGTCGGTCCTGGCATTAGTTAACCTTTTGTTCTAATTCCCACATATATGCATTTACTCTTCCAATGTCATGGGAACGTAACACATGGCACACACATATACATGTACAGTATGTGTAGGCGATTTTGTTTCTTTATAATTCAAGATATATCCCTAATGTTGCATATCCCTTAGACAGAATAATCTATTTATAAGTGTTGTTTTTTGTTGTTGTTTTTTAATATATAATATTTTAATGGCAAGTTGTTCAAATAAACTTTCTATTTAAAAATGAATGCTTTAATATTTTATCCTTTTAAAAGGTAATAGCAGGAGACGATGTTCCATTTTGTAAAGTTGCTATGGATTTTTTAACTGTCAAACATTTCCTTCTTGAATGTCATGATCTTGCACTTGTTTGTCATAGATTTTTGGATTATGTCATTTGAATGCTTCAGCCAAAAGGACTCCAAAAATAATGAAAAAATTGTACGATAATTTTGATTGCAACTGAATATACTTACAGCGTGATTCTGTAATGACAAATTCCCTGCACGGTAAACTGCTGTTTGCTGGCTGCAATGAAAACAAGGAAACACTGTTACACATCTTATAATATCATATTATATGTCGCTATCGACAACGCAACGCGCAATGTACCAAATCAGCCACCATACTTTTCCCATACCTTTTTTCTCTCAAAAGAACCCAAGTCCCCAGTTTCAAGTTGAATGATTATTTTACTTAATTTTAAAGATTTTTTCTTCTAAATACATGTATAAAAATTTCATATTTCCAGGCAGGTATATTACTTATTTTATAAGTTTTTCGAAAATACATGTATTATGTGTGCGCTAGTGTTGCCATATATATGCCTGCGTTTTACAAGCGCACTACTATGTTCGCAATGTAAGTGTATGAAATGAATACATATATGAGCCGCGTTATGACAAAACCAACATAATGGGTTTGCGACCAGCATGGATCCAGACCAGCCTGCACATCCGCGCAGTCTGATCAGGATCCATGCTGTTCGCTTACAAACCCTATTACAAGTAGAGAAACTGATAGCGGACAGCATTGATCTGGATCCATGCTGGTCGCAAACCAACTATGTTGATTTTGTCATGACGCGGCTCATATATTTAACACATATCTTGCTAATTATCTTAAATGCACTTGTTCATTTTTCAATCTGGACAAAAACATTCATTATTTTTAAAATATTCACGACCAGCGCAGACCATGATCATATGGCACAGGGGTGTTCCGGCTGATTTGCGTCTGCACTGCATGGTCGCAGAGGAGCAATCAGTTGCCGCCAGCAGGCTAATAGGTAATTGCAACAATGAACTATTAATTATTTACTGATTGCCTTATATTGTTATGTTATCCTAGAAACAAAATTAATAAACATATCGTGAAAAAAGTCTAATTTTGTTTAGTTATGAAAAAAGATAAGTTCTTGCTCGCCGCTTTTTAACATATTTACTTCCATCTTTTGCGGCCGTCCTGAAAACATTAAAAGAGCTCGCCTGAGGTTTAAAAGCATAAAATTTGATTTTTTTTCTCTCATAAATCAGCTGGTGCACTTGAACAGAAAGATATGCAAAAGATATTTAAGTAATACAGATCTACTCAGAAATTAACAGAAAAATTATAGTTTTGAGTCATTCTTAGCCGAATTTAAGTGAAAAACGTTGCAACGCTAAATATTCCGTTTATCACAACTAGAATAAATGTAGTCATTGTGGTAAAACGGAGTGAGTGGAAAATGTGAAATTTTGCAAATAAGTTATTGGTGTACACCTACATCAAATGGAATATTAACCTCGAAAAAATATTTCCTGTCCAATAATTTTAAATAACCACGGTTTTAGACAAAATACAAAGATGCTAGACAGAAAACATACTTACGATAATATTGCAAGGCTTTTCCGGTATTTCCATATTATCTAATATATACATAGAATAAACTCCATCAATTATAAACAAAAGTCCACAAACTACAAACATTGTTATCATAATCTTTAAATAATCAAAATTAACTTTAGTAGTTAAAACTGTACACTTTAATTAAAAAAAAAAGGTTTCTGAATATATTCCGTACGAAAACCAGACTGCAGTCTTTTCGATTGACTCTCTGAAGAGTTATTTGTGATGCGCTCGTATAATTTGTCACATACAGACCTCGCTCTGATACTGTGAGTTTTGACGTCACAAGTCCACTTTAGAATTTACCTGCTCAAAAATTAATCAGAGTATATCACAGGCTCGTTAGATTAACACTTACATGTGGCCAAACGTTTATAATTAACGCCCCAATAGTGTCGCTATATTAGGTAAACAATGGAGATAAGCCAGGGAGTGTTCCTCGCCTGCTGGCCATGTTCACAAAGTGTCGTCTGCGTTCAAATTTTTCTCGTCTACTGATTTGAAAAGCCGATATATCATCAATTTACTTTAAGTCATTTTTAGATGTACGACAAATTAGACGGTACAGGATCGGAAATATGAGCCGCAATCTGTGGTCCAGTTCCCGAGTGAGTGAGCAGTGCTTTGTGGGTGCACAGATCTTTTGGGTACAGACCCTATCCCCTGCCTTGACCGCCCCTGTAAACGGTCAATTCACATTTAAACACAAATGAGGCATCTGTCTTAGTCATTTAACTTGTATTTCCATAAGAATTTTTTTAAAAAAGCTCATTTATCGTCAAGTCTATGTACATGTTGAAAGAGTATTCAATGTCCAGGCAGTAATGTTCATATTGAGATTAGAGGCCAGTCAGAAATATATATTGATGGACGTGTTCTATCAGCAATGATCATAGCGCTCTGACAGTAATGTTTATATTGAGTTCATAAAGTAATGTTCATTAGGTTAGTAGTGTTCAATAAGTAATGTTCAGGAGGTCACTGAGAAATGATAATTGTCAAGTGCTAATGTGAATGCTTATTTATGTCCTTTTTAATGCAATGGAATTGTGATGCGTGCATGAGGTCGTGCGGTCATTTCTTGGTGCGTTAACTTGGTCGCACGTTCATATCTGTGACTCTATGGTGGCTGATTTGGAACGCTTTTGTGCGTCGTGTTGGCGCTTTTGGCTTATGTTTCATTTTTTTTTTTCAAACTAAATTGATAACTTGTGGTCCTAATATCAGTGCCATTATTTTATTTAATAATACACGAGATCATGCAGGTTTTGTGACTAAATGTATGAGTAATTAAGTTCATGCATTTCTGTGTGTCAGAAATGAACAAATATTTATAAAGATATCTTTCTATTTATTACTAAGTATTCAATGTTTTAGAATATATGCAGTAACAGCCGATCTATTCAATTTGCTCTATTTGCTCTATTTGCTAGAGCAAAATATTGTTTTACTAAAAACATTTCATAGATGTTGCTTTGTATCTAGATAAAAGTCGTTCTGGTGTTGTTTTTGTTGTTTTTCCATGAGAAAACATATCGTAATTACATACTTAAATATTTTTATAGAAATGAAGATATAATGAAAAGTAACGCCATACAGCACTCCATAAAGGGACGGGGAGTCCGTGGCCGAGTGGATACGGTGGTTGACTTCAAACCACTTGCCCCTCGACACTGTAGGTTTGACAGGGACTTTCTTTCATGTGAGGAAGCTAGATAACGGTTCAGGTGCCCCTCCGTGCACTGTTTCAGGCACAACTCAGGCATCTGTGGAAGGTCACTATGTAATTTGTACTGTTTAAAACCAACCAAAAAAACTCTCTATATTGAAGAAGAAAAATTATTTTTTGGTATATTTGAGTTTTATTTTTCAAAAAAAAATATGTATGTGACTGTCAAGTGACAATTTTTTAAGCGATTATTAGAAATTTAATCGACTTCACTGGTGCCAACTTCGCAATATTGTTTGCACCTTCCTTTTCATGCAGTCTCTTGTGTCCGTCTATAATAATCAGAATCCCAGAATGTTTTAAGATAATTCTAAAGTTGCGTAACGCAGTGGGTGTAACGTTATCACAACTAGCTCATCTGTACTTTTGACCTTTGTTTTTCAGTGTATTTGGTATTGAAATTCCTGTAGCTTTGACTGCTCCATTTTTAAAAGCAGGGCAAATTTATTACACAATTCTGTAGGTGAAGGGTGAAAGTCTAGGTCCGACAAGGAAATACTTGATCTATTGTTAAATAAAAATAATATTTACCAAACTTTTTATCTTTAAAAAAAGATCAGGGTTGGTGATTTAACCTACTTTTTATAAGTGCTATATTGTTATGTGGAAATGATACTCCTTTGTAGTACTTTATTAAAATTTGTTATATTTCATCAACACACGGAAGTTTTCAGGAAAAGAGGTCAATATATGTAACGTTTACTTCCATGAACTTTCATTTTTTTCTGATTGGGTAAGGCTGTTTTAGTTCCTCTACCTATGGTTTCCTGTAAATTTAAGTCATTTTTTCCGTTTATTATTATTAGTTATAAAGATTCATATGTATTTGGCTGGTTATATAACCAATCAAAAATCAATAACCAAAAATATAATGCATTTATAACGAATTTATATTACCGGAAACCTCCTTTATTTGAGAAAAATGAAATTAGCAGTGGTCTTGTAATCACGGCAGTAAGCCAATTTGAATTTAACAGAGCACAGTTCAGCTTCCGCATCTTTCATATTCTGGATGTCAAGCAGTTTATCAGTATCAGTTGCCTAAGGAACTTCTGTACATGCCAGAGCAGAGGTACTTGAATGACCGTAGAAAGGATTTCATAATCACAACGAAAATTAAATTAATAACATGCCGTTTAAAAGCGCACAGTGTTATAAACGTCAAAGGGGGGAAGTGTGATTTTAAAATACAGCAATGCCATATTGCCACCATCTCCCTGTGCAGAACTTCAGAACATAAGGCACTTGTAATCACTTCGAAAAAAAAAATTCTTAAGATTTCAAAACAAAATGAAACATCCCCTTATATTCGTGACATGAAACCCTGTTTGAATAATAATTATGAAAATAATATTATAATATGTGTCTTCAGGTCTTTGTTATTTATGGGTTGTCCAAAGATCAAACAATAACCAGTCTGTCAGGTTTTTATATACTTTTGAAAAGAAAACCATTCCTTAATTTGATACAGTTTTGACTTCAGATTGTATCAAAGTCTCATATATGAATACAACAGCAGACGGCTGCTGAAGTACCAGTGCAACGTGCTAATCCGTGTTTGTTTGCCTATGGGATTGGTTGCTACGGCTGATGGAACAATGTTCGATTTTTACGGCGTCGTTTGCTTGATTACTATAAAATGTCGTCTGCATGTTTACTTTTTGATTCTCATTTGTAACCTTCGATTTCTGGAATCAGTTCATGGCTGTTCCTTGATAACTTTTAATTAGTTTCTCTCGTACTATTGACCTAGTCTGTGGAGTCAAGGACGAAACTTGTGTTCCGTTTTGTTTTGTTTGTTTGTTGTTGTTGTTGTTGTTTTTATTGTCCTTTGTTTGAATCAGGTTTTTAAGTTTTACCTAAAATATTTCGTTGATGATACTTTGTATCTTGAAAACAATAATGAGTATATGTCGATTTTGGTTTCAGTAAGAAATCCTTCCGTAATTATATCAAAGAACAAAGTCAATGAAGGCAGCTTTTTTTTTTAAAATCTTCTGTAAATGGGCCGAGGTCCTTTGAATCGTAAAAATAAAATTAGCGCTTTAATGCCATTATTTGTGAATATAGTCCTATTTCATACAGACTACGTAAGTCTGGAAAAATATAGATAATGTGTTGGAAAATGTCTGAAACCTTGACAAACACCTTTATTAAATAAAGTCTCTTTGTTTAATGTCTCTATTTCTCAGGTTTTTAATTCATTGACAATTTTTGTCAATGACTACAATTTGAATATTGTGAATTTTCATTAATCATTTGTGAAGAAAGACACTTTTTGGTATTGTGAATGAAGGCCTATTTCGGCCCCAAAACTATGTGAAAACAACACAGTAAAGAAACTTGAAAATAAGGTAATATCTCAACATGAGATAAGTGTTGAAGAGGTGAGTAGAACATTAAAACACCTAACCTGACAGTTTTTTTTTTGTAAAGGTATACATGTATATATTTTGGAAAACACAAAAAAGCGAGATTTTGTCTCAGTGATAGTTGTGGTACGTATCATGGTATAATTGGTATGTTAAGAAACTAATAGATGCATCAAGTTTTGATCGAAGTATTTGGCTTGGTAATTTCTGAAACATTAGCATCCTTTGCTAGACCAAATAAAAGCCAGCCTTCTGCAATGTTCTTTGAAATATGTGACAAACAAACTGTGTGGGAAAAAAAAGCAATTTGAACGCACTTGACCTAGATATTATAAATTGGAAAAATAGGAAAAGGAAAATTCCTGAAAATGCTTGTTAATATCTTCTAATTAAATAAATTTTACCACAAATTTATTAATCAAAACAGAATTGTTTCATTTTAATGAAAGAAATAAACTACAATTTCAATAATGTTACTTCTTTACAGAAAATGTTGTTGTAATGGGAAGTCATTTAAATTTGTATCAAAGTATTACTGTCATAAAAGATCAAACGATACTTCAATGTATAGTAAAAATAAATTAATTTCTCTTTTAAATTATGCATGCAAGTTATATTCGAGTACAAAGTCACAGTCGTTAATTTGATATAAACATGTTTGATTACGCTATTCAAAGCTACTATTGATAGCTGTTATTCATAGCTCCATAGCGAGATACCATTCTTAGCTAACCGTTCATAGTGAGCATCAATAGCTACCATTCATAGCTAACACCCATAGCCAACCGTTCATAGTTAACATTCATAGCTACCATTCACAGCTAACATCCATAGCTAACCGTTCATAGTTAACATACATAGCTACCATTCATAGTTAACCGTTCATAGTTAACATCAATAGCTACCATTCATAGCTAACCGTTCATAGTTAACATCCATAGGTAACCGTTCATAGTTAACATCCATAGCTACCATTCATAGTTAACCGTTCATAGTCAACATCCATAGCTAATCATTCATAGTTAAAACTCATAGCTAATCATTCATAGTTTACATTCATAGCTACCATTTCTTTCTATCGGTTCAAAAGACGAAATGTTCAAATTCATATAAAATGGCTAAGTGTGACCTGAGGAAGGTCAAACTGCGCTCTGCATATGGTCTCATTATGGTTACTTTCTGCAAACTAGTTTCAATTTCACCGGTTCAACTGATACAGACTGGACATGAAAACTGCTCACAGATGGACTGACGGACGGACAGACAACCAGGAGTATAACAGTATTTGCCTATTTTTTTTTCTTGCGTACAAAGGGATATTAATTAGTAAGCAGGAAAGAGATAGTTGAAAACATCTTATGTACTGTTATCAAACATAATGTTGAGGCATAGACCTATAAATACATTTTCATGCTTACAAGAAAAATCAACAGAAATAAGATAACGGCTAAGTTTTTTCTTCATAATTTTATTTTTTTAATTCATGTTTTTATTTTTACAATAATGGTTTAAAATACATAGAATAACAATATGTGTATAGACCCCTGAACGTATCACAGTTTATTTTTAAAACATAGGGAAAGAATGAACAAATTTTACAAGTATTTGTTTGAACATAACAAAATAAAATAAATAAAATGGAAGTCAAATTATATAACTTCACATGTTTGGTCATATAACAACTTGCTGGTTCCCCTCTTTACATTATTTCATGTGTAAAAGGACACTATAGGGGAACCAGCAGCCCTCTGTGAGCTAGCAGGATAGCTCCCCCATATAACAGAAAAAGCAATGCCTCTGGGTTGGATTCAAACCCATATAGTGAAGCTCCCTAATATTTTAAAAAATCAATGCCTCTGGATCAATGCAACAGAGGTGAAAGTAAAAACATGTAAACCACTCAGCCATTATTTATGAAATAATAAATATTAATGACTTACAACATTTAAAACAACTTATTCCACTTCTGAAAGTTATTTCTTCTTTCTTAAAAAGGGTTTGGAGAAAACAAATGTTTAAATTACATATTCACAACTTTTGGTGATGAAAAAAAATCACCAAGAATATCTTATAATCCTTGCCCTCCTAAATTTATATAATGGACTTTCTTCTTCTTCAAATTTGGAATAATCCATTACTATTTTGGGGGGGTTTCAGGATTGCAACACTTAAATAAAGTAACTAGCAGCATAGCGCCTGGTCAGACCAAATAGCCCTACTGTTAGACCAGACTATTCATTATGGGTTGTTTCCACCTAATAAACCCCCAAAACTAGGGATGTGCGGTATTACCGGTATACCGGTATACCGCGGTTTCGTTCAGACGCGGTACGTACCGGTACGACCCCTAGGAATACCGGTTTTTTAATATATATAATTTTACATAATATTTTTGTAAGATTCGGACGTTATTTACCCTGTAATCTGTGTTTCAACTTTCAACCTAAATTAAAGTGGAATTCCAAGTCTATTTTTAGGAGCAGCAGTAAATGCACAGTATAATACTCTAAACGAATAATTAGTCGCGGAAAGTCGGATCGTTTCCCGGTTGTTTTTCATATTTATTATGTAGTGTAAATACATTTCAATCCGCCGACATTTTTATAATTTCTATATATCATTCTTCATTTAAATGCATTAAAAGGGACACCCATGTTAGTGCTCAGTCTAAGGCTAGTAAACATGTTGACGTATTGACGAGTGGCAACAATAACAAAACGTAAAGCATTTAGACATAGCCCAACTTGTAAACAGCTCATACCGTCATGGACGAATTCACCACGGTCAAAAATCCAACGGTGCATAGAAAAACCGGAAAGCACCGGATAGCACCGAAATACCGGAAAGCACTCAAATTTCTCATAAAAACATATGAAGGACCGGAAAGCACTCGATATATCTTATTTTCCTAAATACTCGTAATGATTATCATTATATATTTATAAAAACATGTTGTCTGAAAGATTTTGATCTAATAAATCGATTGGTAACACTTTCAAACCAATAAAATAAAGTTTTCATGTATTATTTTGATATTCAATATTGCTATCCGGTAATGTACATGTACCTTAAGTAGCAGGACCGGAAAGCACACGTTATATCTATTTTCCGAAATAATCGTAAAAATTATCAATATATTTTTATAAAAATGACTTGTCTGTAAGATTTTGATCTAATAAATCGACTGGTAACACTTTCAAACCAATAAAATAAAGTTTTCATGTATAACTTTGATAAACAATATTGCTATCCGGTAATGTACATGTATCTTAACAGGACCGGAAAGCACTCGATATATCAGTTTTCCTAAATACTCGTAATAATTATCATTATATATTTATAAAAACATGTTGTCTGAAAGATTTTGATCTAATAAATCGATTGGTAACACTTTCAAACCAATAAAATAAAGTTTTCATGTATTACTTTGATATTCAATATTGCTATCCGGTAATGTACATGTACCTTAGCAGGACCGGAAAGCACACGATATATCTATTTTCCTAAATAATCGTAAAAATTATCAATATATTTTTATAAAAATGACTTGTCTGTAAGATTTTGATCTAATAAATCGATTGGTAACACTTTCAAACCAATAAAATAAAGTTTTCATGTATAACTTTGATAAACAATATTGCTATGCGGTAATGTACATGTATCTTAACAGGACCGGAAAGCACTCGATATATCTATTTTCCGAAATATTCGTAATAATTATCAATATATATTTTAGAAAATGATTTTTCTGAAAGATTTTAATCTAATAAATCGATTGGTAACACTTTCAAACCGATTAATTAACGTTTTCATATGTTTTTATGAGAAATTTGAGTGCTTTCCGGTTTTTCGGTGCTATCCGGTGCTTTCCGGTTTTTCTATGCACCCAAAATCCAATGGGAATTGCCATTTTTCTGTTTTAGATTTTGTTGAAAATATTATCAAGACAATAAGGTTATTTTCTTCTTTCTTTTATTTATTATTTTCCAGTCAGGTAGACAGATGTTAGTTGAAAAAGAAATAAAGATATTAATCTGTTTTTCTAAAATGTATTGTGTTTTATCAAAATGTTTAAACTTTCTTATGGCAGTTGGTCTTAGTTTGCATAAGTTAAACATTAAAAAGTGTCTTCATAATACCGTGGTACATACCGCGGTACACAGGTGAAATACCGCGATATACCGCGGTACAAAAAAATTGGTGGTACCCATCCCTACCCAAAACTAATAATTAACTGCTCCAAATGTAAAACAGGGCAAATCCATTGCATAAATTTAGTGGGGAAAGGCATACATAAAACAGTTTAACATTATCTAAAATATTTTAAGTCTTTGAAGTCATGAAACATAGGGAGAATCTGTTCATGAAAGTTTTAGATTTGATATGTTGCTTATAATTATGTCAGTTTCCGTTCAGTAGCCAAAGTAGGACGGCACCTCGTCACTACTGTACTGTACATTTTCTACATGCCGCATCATCTTCTGAGCGGAATTCCTGAAAAAAAATAATGAAGAAAAAGTAGATTTTCATTTTTTAAGTGAGTATATTTATGTACAAGAAAATTTATATTTTTAATTCAATAACAAGATGGAATATCAACATATATAGTTGTTTTGAAATTCTTTCAAAAAGAAAGTACATGCCTATAAAAGTGCTTCTTAATTGATTAAAAAATATATTAAAATGTAAATGTTGATGTAAAACAACATCGCAATTTTTATACATTCGTTATTATCACTACCATTTTTAAGGTCCATTATGCCCCAGAATTTTTTTTACTTTTTATTTCTCAAAAGCTTTTTATTTTTGGTATACTTTTATAGTTACCAAAAGGTTTCTCATTGGCCAATTACCTGAACAATCTTTGTTCTGATGCTTTTGGGCAATTAGTACATCTCTAGTGATTTAGCAATTTGTATAGAAGTTAACATACTACTTTGTTTACAGTTTGCTACTTTAATGACAAATTATTTCACATTTAGACCTACTTTCTTCAAGTTACATGAAGCTAACATACACTCTAAAACCATTATTAAACATTATAAAATTCACATTTGCCCTTACTAAAGAAGTAAAAATTTATAAGCTACTGAGGCATAATGTGCCTTTAAAGTCCATTTTTTTGTATAATTGCTGTTTGTTTTTGTTTTTTTGTTTTTTTTTGGTATTAAACATTTTAAAATTCATATTTGCCCTTACTAAAATAAAGTAAAAATTCATCAGTTACTGAGGCATAATGTGCCTTTAAAGTCCATATTTTTTGTATAAATGCCGGGGGTTTTTTTTGGTAAGTTTTAAAGTTCAGAATGGTATTTGGGATGATGTTTCCGACAAGTTTCGTCATTGTTTATTACAATGATTGTTTTGTATACTCACTTTGATACACCTTTACAGTACAGCAATGTCAACATCTTTAACTTCTTACACCCTTTACGTAGATACTTCAAAGCCTTATCACTGTAAATAGATAAATAAAACATGGCTAAAAATAACGCAATCATGAAAACTCGAGGAGTACAAATTACTGAGTTTCAAAAGTAGACATGATAAATTGTTACAATGCAGTAGGTGATAACTTTTAACCGCCCTCTTAGTTTGAAATTTTTTTTAAATTCCAATTCTGTAGAAGAAAAGTGCTGCAAAATACAAAACTGAGTTCAAAAACTGACATCACCATATCAGATAAAGCGTTGTCTAATACAAGGGCAGTATAAAGGTGTTTCATGAATGATTAATGCAAATGGTTAAAATCTTGTTTAAAGGTATTTCAGTCGAATGTAGGCAAATGACTTATCCTGAATTCTGTACTGATTTTTAACTTGTTTTCATTTTACTGCCCATTTTTCCACAAGATATTTTCAAACAGCAGCGATAAGACAAATGACAGTTGACATCTTAAGTTTTTCAGTTTTGATATAATACATTACAGCTCAGTTCTGACATGAATTAGCAGATTATTTAAACAACTTTTCAGTCTGCTTTTTTTAATTAACCAGTACTGGTCTGGGGGTTATTTAACTTTTTCCTGAGTTCCGTCTCAAATCTCAAGATTTTCATTGGTCAGTGAACATTCTGTGGCAGTTTCTGACCAATCAAATACCTGAGATCTGAGTTTGAGTGTAGAAAAATTTCTTTATAACTCTGGACCCTGGTGTCATACGATGAAACAGTTACTCGTGACCCTATAAGACAATTTCATTAAAGTCAATATCCTAACTGTCGCTCCACTACCCTTCACTCCATAGCGAAGAGTAACAGACCGAAAACGATGATCTAATTTTAAGGAAATTGCCAGTAAGGGTGTATGCTACACTAAAAGAGTTAAGAGGCAGACACCTTAATCACTAAGCCACAAGTACTCCAAGTACAACATTTTATTTTCAACCACATTGCCAAAGAAAATTTTTTTAGCACAAAAGACTGGACCTCTAAGATAAACTGAGAGAGTAAACATTTTGTTCTATCAAAATAACTAAACAAAATAAACATATAATATCTTGAATAATGTGATGATCTTTAAAATATAACATATAATATTCAACTTACGTAATAAGTAAACATCCGCTAACATCTAACTGGAATAAGTAGTGGCACACTCCCGACAAGTACTGTATACTTAAATCTGTCACCTGAAAATAAGCAATTATCAACTCTTCAACCTCATTGGCCAATTCTTAGTATAAATATAGAGTAACCAATAAAATTTCTGCATTTTCTTTGGCTGCCCTCTATTTCTTGTTGATTGTATATTGTATTTATACATGTACATGCACATAGCCATGTGGTAAAGGTTCACTTTGAATCACAAGTCCCTCACCACTGCGGGTTTGAATCCTGCCAGGGACTTTAGATTCTTACATGTGAGGAAGCTATTAAACTAGCTTACGGAATGTCTGAGGTTCGACTTGTGCCTGAAATAAAGCAAGGAGGAGGACCTAAGGTTATCTTTCACCAGTAAGGCTGGAATGTCACCATATGGCTTTAATGTGTGGTTGTGACTAAAAACCCAACACAGCACCTCCCCCCCCCCCCCCCCCCCCAAAAAAAAAAAGAATATGTTTTTTGGTCTCCAAAACATTTTCATTCAGGAAACTCATTAAATATATCCTACTAATTCTACCAATTGTATTTGTCCTTTAAACAGACCCACAAGTTCATAAATATATATCTATCAAAATCAATATTTGGAAACATAGAAGAGTAAATTTATAATTTTCTAGATTCACATCAGGTCAAAAATATAATTCAAGGTTGTATATCAAAAAATCATAGATATACATTTAACAGGAGATAAAAAATGCATGATGGGACATTTTCTTATTACAACTTAACACCCCCTATGCCTCTTGACTAGAATGCACATTAAAAATCTCTATAATCACAGATCTAGCGCCTTTTCTCCCTTTCTACTGAACTAACAGAAGGCCAGCGTCATCAGTGTAATTATATGATATTAAAGCACAATTAAGCCAGCATGATATGAGAAGAAAAAAACATCCAGTGAAAAGTACATACCAGTTTACAGCCAGCTAGGTTAAGTACATTCAACATTCTGCAGCAAAATGCCAGGTTCTTTATTGCACCATCTGTGATTTGCTGTCAATATAAGATCACTTTATTAATTTCACAAGTTTTCTAAAAATATCTTTATATGAAATGCCCACTTCTACAAAGGTCCAGATTAAACAAACAAACATTAAATCAATTTACAATTATGTACTGTATCAACATGATACATTACTGTGTAAATGCACGGTATTAATATATTACTCTATTTGCATGGTATATTACTAAATTTTAAGGTACATTACTGTTAATTGCATGGCATTGGTATATTTCATGGTGCATTATGGTGTTTACATGGTATTGGTACATTTCTGAACTTACAAAGTATTGATATAAAAAGATATATTACTGTATTTACATGGTACACTACTGTGTAATTTGCATGTTATTGGTATATTACTGTATTTGCATGGTATATAAATTACTACATTCATGTATTATAGTATTTACATGGTATGGGTATATTACTCTATTTACATGGTAAACATGTTTACATGCTACTGCTATTAACTTATTTTCATTGTTATTGCACTGGGTTTACATGCTATGGGTAATTTACTCTATTTACATACCATGCAGTGAGATAAATCAAGCCTCTCAATATTTTTACACTGCTGAGCAAACTTCTGCAGACCAAGATCTGTAATGTTGGCACATTCTGACAAAGTGACGTCCCGCAAACGACTGTTGTTGCCAAGTGATGAGAGACCACCGTCCCCGCAGTTGCAACCAGAGATATCTATCGACGTTATACTATGGGTCTGACCAAGAAGTTCGATACCTGCTTCGCTGATGTGCTCACAGAAACACACACTCAAGTACGTCAAATTGTGGCAACTTAAATTTGAAAATCCATTGTTATAATTTGATAGATATATTACATTTGAATACAAACGAAGAGAACAAATGTTAAAGACATCATTCTTATCTTTTAGCCAGCTTGTGTAAATTAAATTTACCCATGCAAACAATAAAGAGAAAGATCAGTCAGCACATCCATTGGCCATCTGATCATGGTCTGCTCTGTATGCTATTCAGTAAATGCATATTTTTAAATTTTTCCTAAAAGTTATAAATGGTTTAGTCCAGATTGAAAGATGGTTTTAATTAGATTGAAAGATGGTTCATTTAAAATATTTGGTATGGTAAGGATAAAGAGAATGAAGAATGCTGCATTAGCCAGTACCATCAGGGATACTTTATTGCAGGTGTGGGGAATTTGAGGCATCATGTAGAACAAGAGCTGTCGGTAGGACTGCACGCTCGACTATTCTAAGTGCTTGATAGTAAAAGAGCCTTGATAATGTTAAATTTTTCAAGTTCACAAAAGGGCTAATTTTTTTTATAAATTCTTGTTAAAGGCCTTAGAGAGTCTAATTAAACAGTATTGGCTTGACTATTCAGAAGGTAATGTCACAAGGGTGTTTTATTGAGTATAATAATACTAATTACCTATGAATAAATGTACATAAATTTGACAGAAAAGGTGCAAAGGCTTGTTATGAAGATGTTTTATCAAGTAAATCACTGCTTTATTATTATGAATGCATAAAATTGTCCCAAAAAAGGCACAAACCCTTCAGTAGTTATTGAGATAACAACTTACAAGCAAAACTTCACCATGAATTTCTAAGTTGAAAAAGGGGAGAAAAATCAGCCTAAATGCAAGATAGAATTATGGACCTTTGTCAGTGACCTACAATTATGACCCTAAATGCATATGTGAAGTTTTAAAGAAATATCTTTAATAGTTATTGAGATATGTAAAACTTGCATGTAAACATTAACCAAGAGACTAAGTAGAAAAGGGGATATGAATCAGCCTTAATGCAAGATAGAGTTATGGAACTTGGTCAGTGACATACAATTATGACCCTCCAATTATGACCCTAAGTGCATGTGTAAAGTTTCAAGTAAATATCTTTGAAGACCTTTAACCAAAATTTCTAAGTTTCAAAGGGGCAAATAATTCTGCAAATATTGCAGGCAGAGTTATGCAATTTTGCAAACTGATGTTCCTTGTTACTATAAAAAAGTATCTTAAATTTCAATTGAATATCTCAAGCAATAATTGAGATATTTGACTTTACAAAAAAACTTTAACCAAAATTTCTAAGTTCCAAAGGGGCAAAATTCTGTCAATATTGTAGGCAGAGTTATCCAACTTGTCAATCTGATGTACCTTGTTACTATAAATAAGTATTGTAAGTTTCAATTGAATATCTCAAGCAATAATTGAGATATTTGACTTTACAAAAAACTTTAACCAAAATTTCTAAGTTAAAAAGGGGCATAATTCTGTCAATATTGTAGGCAGAGTTATCCAGCTTGTCAATCTGATGTACCTTGTTACTATAAATAAGTATTGTAAGTTTCAATTGAATATCTCAAGTAATAATTGAGATATTTGACTTTACAAAAAACTTTAACCAACGCAGACGCCGACGCGGACGCTGACGCCGACGCCGGGGCGACTACAATAGCTCTCATATTCTTCGAATAGTCGAGCTAAAAACAATAGCATGAATGAAATTAAAGCATACTGACAATACAGATTTAAGAAAATTAATTTTTATTCATCATTAAATCTTCCAGCTTTCAGTCAAATATGCCTCAAATTCCCCACACCTGCAATAAAGTATCCCTGATGGTACTGGCTAACGCAGCACTCTTCATTCTCTTTATCCTTACCATACCAAGTATTTTAAATGAACCATCTTTCAATCTAATTAAAACCATTTCTTATAAATAACATGCACACTGATGAATAAATGATAAATCACAAGTTTTCACAGACAAATGTTAAGCTTAGTAGAGAACAATGTGCAGATGATTGGCAATGTTTTAAAGCATAAACATTTTATTTTCATATTTTTTTTTTATAATTTATTTGGAGTAGGGCAGGGCTTGTTATGTGAACACTGTGAAGGTCATTACACATCTATACTGATGGCTGTATATTATTCTTATTTTGACACTTAGTTACCCCTAAACAGGGCAAGTCCATTCCACTATTATAGCAATGTCTGTGTAAATTAGAATACGATTTATATACCGGTAATGTTTAAAATATACTTACCGTTTATGAATATTCACCATGGCCATATCTCCCACGCGTATACAATTTGTAAGATTGAGTTCTCGTAACTTGGGGCCGCATGGTCCATCAACAAGCTGTCTCACACCTTTATCAGTTATTCTAAAAAATATGGACCTTTTGTTAATCAAATGCTAATAAACTGTTCATGAACAAGACATTTTTTCAAAGAACCATGATATTTCTAAAAGAAATTGTCCAGTAATTGTTCAACACATTATGATCAAGAAGATTATGCTCTTAAACATTTGACCTTGACCTCTTAAGTGACCTTGACCTTGCATTTTAGAATAAACATTTGTTAAATAAACATATGTCCAGTCCAGATAACATTTGTGCCAAATGTCTGAAAGAAATTGACTTCAGACTATAAAAAGTATCAGATATAGTGGTCCCTGCAGGAAAATAAAGAAGAACAAACGTTTGAATAAGAGTCAGATATGTAAACAATTCCGTTAAAAGCATTTAAACAAGAATTCTATAAAAGAATAAATCACTCAGATACAAAATATATGAAGATTTATCATTTATCATCAATATAACTTGTACATCATACTTAATAAATAGAAAGGGAGATAAGGTAATTTTACTAAAATTATTAAAGGGAGGTAATAAAATATCAAAGATATGCATTTATTTGCAAATTTTACCATCATAAAACTATAATATTCACAAAAGATAATAAAAATAATTATGCTTTTTACAAAAATATAAAAATTTAGTTAAAAATCAATTTTATATAACCTTGCATATAAACATATATCCTAAACAATATAAACAGTAAGTACATTTGAGAAGGTAAGCAACATAGCCCATGATAATGCCACTGCAACTATGTGTCATACATAATGAGCAGCCAGTCAGGGCTTATAACACAGCTGGGTTAGGAAACAGGATAGCAATAAATGCTACTCCTGTGCTGACATATCCAGAACATTTTGATTGCCTCAATAATTAATAATACTTCTAAAATACCATATAAAGTGATAAAATAGGGTAATCTTAGTCAAAGTTACATTTTTCACTACCAGTTTTTTTGTCAACATTAGGAAATCATTCAATGAAAGGGGAATTACAATTCATACAAAGAAAATAACAATAAAAAGTTTGACTTGAGCATATTTAACTAGCCCAAAATCTCACTAAACTAAATGTATTATATTCTACCGTAATGTAATTCAGTGACAAGAGCAGAACTATACATGATCACGCGATTTTCACTATGTCAGGTCATAATTCGTGCATATGTACAGGAATATAAATATTATTATAACATAATATAAAGATAGAAAAATACATCAGGAAACAGAATTTTACTCATGAACAGACAGACATACAGAAAGACAGACAAAATTTAACGGACAGTCTCATTTAATCTTTCCGTCAATTTTGTTTTGTTTCAAATATATAAAAAGAAATGTTTCTCACCTGACACAGTCTGCAAAATTAGCCACAGTCAAAAATTTACATGATGCCAATGATTTCAATGCTAGATCGGTCAATCTTTGGCAGTCAGCAATGTAGATATGTTCCAGGTTTGAGCAATGCATACCTATCACACGCAAGCTCACATCAGATATTCTGTGGTTCCCTGTTGGTAAAATATTAATATAGACTAATAACATCATGAAATATAGAAATTATGAGTAACTGGTAATGAAATAGTGTATAGAGGATATTGAATGAGTGTAGGTTTAATACTAAATCTATTGAATGAGTTTAATAAAATCATATTATGTGAGCCTCTGGCGTGCAAAATATTACTTTATTCAACAAGTTCAATAAATTCAGTAATGAACCTACACAAATACATGTATAATATTCTATTTATCACATATCCAAAATAAAGACTGCTTAAAGTACAAAAGAATCATTTTTCATTGACGCGCCTATAGTGTAGTGCCTCATTACACTACTGTATGTTTGTATAACGCAAATGATGCCATGTCAAAATATATGCACGGCCGTGCAATACCATTTTTACGTAGCAAAATCGGTACGGTATATGATGATTTGATACCCCTATAGTTTAATGCTTACATTAAGGGTCTTTACACTACATTAATTATATTATGTATATGCAAACTCCTCACAGTGATTACCTCCTTTTGCAGAATTGTAATCACTGCCTTCAAAGACGTCACATGATGATGAAAGTCACATGACATAACGTCGAAATTCAAATGTAAATATCGACCGTTACATAGAAAATCTAACGTCATTTTTCTCTTTCTGTTTTATTTTTAACTTTTAGTGCCTACGATCGATATAGTTTATCAAAAAATTATCAAAAGTATACAAAATAACGAAAAATAAATTCAAAAGCTAAAAAATATAAAATATCAAAATATTGTCTCGGTAGAAAATATTCTCATATTTTTTAAAATTATTTCTAATTATTTAATTTTACCCATGAAATATGGTGCTATATCAGTCAAATATATTTCATATTTTTTAAAAATAAATATGAAATATAAATATGAAAGTGGGCGGAGTCAAAACTCATATTTATTTTAAGGGACTCCTTTCGCCGTTTTGTTTGAAAAATCTGATAAATACAAAACAACTTTTTCTTGAATATTGTTTTGAAAACTATCTAGCATGATAGAAAATGGTCTAACTAAGAAAATTAATCCGAACAACAATATCTTTAATTCAGTAATTAACGCTGTACAGACGTTTAAAGAGTTGTTTACATGACGTCACATGTAGCGCCAAACAGCGCGTGCTTAAGCATAAATTACTGCGCGCTGTACAATTGCAGTTGGTAGCAAGCAAGGGGTTTCGGTACCATTTTCTTTGATAATAAAATTAAATAAAAATGTTATTTTTTCGTTTTTCGTGAAATATGGTATAATTTTCACTCAACATGATAAAATGCCACATATTTTCACTCGCCGTACCGGCTCGTGAAAATATGTGGCATTTTATCATGTTTCGTGAAAATATAATCCATATTTCACGCAAACGAAAAAATATCCTCTTAATATTCATATTATTTATTTATTTATCCATAAACATTGTTTAATCAATGAGAAAAAACTTGACTGATAGATAAAAGCAGTAAATAAAACAATTTTTGAAAAAATATAGTATATCAGAAATTCTGATATATTGGGACCTTGGTGGCAGAGATCTACGCCGAAGAATTAAGGGGAGATCACTGTGTGGAGATTGATGTATATGATGTCACATCAAAATAATTATTATGCACGGCCATGCAATACCATTTTTACTGAGTGGCAGGTTGGACTTCAGGTTGGCTATTCTCTGTGTTGATAGTAGAATCCCAGTAATGAGAGAATCACAGAGAATTCATTCACAATACATGGCAGAGCTATAAATTTTCAAAGTTCACAAGGACTGTTATTCAAAAAATAGACATTATTAGTCAGGGCCTTTCATAGGACTATAATATAGATGACAAGAGTTATGGGATGTCACTCGGATAGGGATTTACAATTATGATCTCTAAGACATGTGATGTTTTAAGTAAATACCTCAAGTGGCAGTTGAGATATTAAGTTAACCATTAAGTTGCACATAAAACTTATACCAAACTGTTACACTTACTCACTTTGTAAGTAGGATAGCCCTGCTATTTTTCAAATAGTTCAGCCGATAAGTTTTTCTTAATGCACATAAATAGGTAGTTAAATCAGTGAAATATAAAGTAATGCATTTCATTTTAGAAATACATGTAAATTTTAATTTTGTGTGACTACCACATTGAGTTCAGTAATATACAAGCAATCGTGATGATAATAATACTTAATTTATAAAACTCTGTGATTTATATTGTTAAATAGAATAAGGCAATGTGCTCAATAATCAAAAATATACAACCTAATGCAACATTGCATTGAAACTGAAAGGATTCACTATCAGACTTTTTTGTCTGTGTGGCCGAGTGTAATAGCAAGCTTCTTATTGTTCTTCCCTTCTTATCTTTATTTAGGAATGTCATAGACAATGTTAAAGTATGAAATATGGAATAAAATTATCTGCTCATATAGAAGCATGCAGCTAATTGATTATAAATAAGTTTTCAAAATTAAAATGTTTTCAACATTATAATGTAGCTTTTAAATATAGATAGATCTACATGTACAAACCTTCAATTTTGATTTTTTTAAGATTCTTGTTCCCGGCTATCCTTTTAAAAGTTTCATCTGAGAGGAGAGGGGAACCGAGGAATGACATTGTGTTAAGTTTGGTTAGTTTGTTGGCAACAGGGGTGAGGCAGTCATCACTGAGGGTTGGAAAATCATTCAGCAGCAAAGTCTGGAGATTTGTACATCCTTGTGACAAATTCTTGAACCCGTCTGGTGTTATCTAAAACACAAGAAAGAAACAAAAAATGTAAATGTATATTAATTGTCTGACTTATAAAATGTGTTTATATCAATTTCAATTCTAAAATGTGATTCTTTATTTCAATGTATCTTGTGAATTCTAAATTGTTTATTTATTTAAAATTAAACCAAAATAACAAATCATTATAAAAAAAACACTTATTTCCCCTTGTAATGCAACACTTGTATGTTTTTGCCTGTAATAGAAATGAAAAAATAAATATTTTCTTTGAACATATTATGTAAACATTTATTGAAAGTTTCACTTAATATCAATTCCTCAACTTGAATTTTGTAAATACTAGAATATAAAGAAACACTTTGTAAGCAATATCAATCTCTGAATTAATCCTTTTTCTTTTTGTTTTTCCCTTCAAACATTAAGTCATTTTCTTCCAAGAACACTTCACAGCTAGAATTGTAACTTCTTTAAATAATTTTCATTGCGACTCTGTAAACCAGCCTAGTCATGTGAAGGTCGAGTCATGCAAGTGACTGATTTGAACACATGTCAGGAAACGTTGGGGCATATGAAAAAAATAACTGTGACTCTAGTACCTGAGAAAATATAAGACCAAACTTCAGTCTGAGATCAATTCCAAAGTTATCATATGAACCCGAAAAATAAGCCAGTGATAAAAAAAAGCCCAGTATACCTGCAAGCATCCGGAGACATCTAGATAATCAAGCTTCTTGCTGTTCTTTCCAGACGACAGATACAGCAATCCACGATCCGTAAACTTCTTACAGTGGGCTAGAGATAGGTACTGTAGATTACTGCAGTATCTGTAACAAACAAAATACAGTCAAACCTTAATATATATGTATGTAGCCATACAGTCAAACCTTATTCTGTATGTATGAAGCTGCTCTACCCTTTCACTTTTGGCATGGTAACAATAAATACTGGAAATAAACTTAATTATTCATCTCCTTAGTGCAGTATCAGAATAAGTCCTTCTAAATTTAATAGGAGTTAATCAGTTATTCCACTAAGGTGACAATAATCATGTCACACTGTACAACTACAAATTCAGGGATTGCAAGTTTTCTCTTCAACTAAAAATTATTTACAGTCTTAATTGTAATAAGACCTTTAATAAAGGTCCTATGTATTGAAGCTGTTAATTGCAATTACACAAATAAAATCATTCACTACTCCTAAAATGGAAAATATTTGTACCTGAATAACATTATTATTGGCCTTTGGAGTTTCCTAAAAAAAAATAACTAACCATTACATTGTGTATATACTGGGAAAGTGTTCAAAATGAGCCTTCATTGTCTATAAATCAACATTTGCATAATGTAAGAAAAGAAATATATTAGTAAGATATAATTTTACTACGTACTTGGCAATAGTTCTAAGAGAGGCGTCTGTTATTTTGGTATGTGATAAATTCAGATACAGCAAGATCTTACATCCCTTAGCAACCAATTTCATCACCTCATCCTAGAAAACACAATTATTGTAAAGATGATATCAAAACATACAAGCTTTTTATAACATATAAAACTTTTTTTAAAGCAGGTGTTAAGTTACATTTACTTTCATTCTGATTAAAATCAGCTCCTAAATAATGCTATGCATGTCACCTTCTCTTGATCAGCCAAGCATCGGCCAGCTTTCACAATTTTAAAAGCGATGCGGTTTCTAATTTTAACCACTGGAAAACCAATACTGAGTAAGTTAAATTATCGCAATTTGGAGAACAAACATGGCAACAAATTTCGATACGTTGTCCTATCTGTAAAAACTGGTTTGAGTGCATGTTTCAGAAAATCCTTAATCATAATGAAGGCAAAACATATATGATGGTAATCAGTTCTTCATGTAAGAAATAAGTAGATCTGAAGCAGTTTTTGCTTTCCCCTAAGAGATGGAATATTCAGAAATGAGATCAGTTGACCTTTGGTTGCTTCTAAAGTTCATAACTAAACAGATCTTTGTAGATTATATGATGACCAATGTACTTACATTAAGTCCGAGACATTCGGAAAAGTTAAGATCCTGAAGATTACTGCATTCACTAATACTTGTGAACGACGGTTCCGACACAAACTGGCAACTTCGCATGTTCAAGTGAATCAAATATGGCCGGCATTTGTACAGTAGTTTTGTCACAACTTTATCTGTTACCCTGTTAATGAAATCAAAATAAACAGTTTTAAACGTACAATTTTTTTATAGTTATAGATAAAGATAGTTTTGGAATGTCGAATAATTCTCGTGACAATTTATTTTTGAATATGGTTTACATGATGCTAAATATTTCCAAATATAATTGTATCACTGTTCTGACAAAAAGATCAGTCAAGTGTATTTCATCAATATCAACCTTTTTCACATTTTCATTGTAAAAAAAGTATGCAAAATCTGTGATGTTCTGATTTATTTACTTTATGAAAAAAAAGAAGAGAAAAAAAAATTACTGCAAAATCATTTTTATTCCTTAAGAACTATTTTTTTTGTGGTCAATCCAATCATAAATTTAAGATCCAATAAAAGTTCATTTTGTCTGCTGTAAGATTATTTTTCACATTATTTACACTTTACGTTTTGGAAAAATAAACAGTCCTTGAATTTAAGTAGCCGCAAAAATGTTATTTGTGATAAGGCCACGAAATTTCATGCCCACAAAATTAAGTGAATTCACAGTATTTTGATATTTAACATTTTGGAAAAATTCATGAATTCTAAAATGTATAACAAAACAACATATTACTTTATAACTTGTATTAAATAAGAAGATATCACATATAATATATATTTTCCATTTAATCTACAACTTTTATCATATTTAGTTAACATCAATTTATTATAGTGTAAAAAAAATGTATTAGCTGTACTTTGATTTTTTTTTTATTACTTTTTTTATACATGATATCAATTTTCTAGTATTATGTAATACAAACTACACACATTAAGGAAATACAGCCATTCAAAAAGCTACAAAAAGCACACAAATGTTATACATTTCAAAGTTGTTTCAGAAAAAAATAGCAATTTTTAAAATAAAACATACCCATTAATATAATTTAGAAAAAACATGAGTCAATTATCACATATTTATTGGATTTTTTTTCTTTTTCTTATTGCAAAGACAAAACAAGTAAGGTCCTGTCCTGAAAATTACTAAAATTAATTCAGTAAACATCAATTTCAAACATGTTATCACTATTGTTAATATTTCAAGCAAAGCTGCAAGCTGCATAATTAGTTTCAACCAGTAAAAGAAAAATGTTGTTTTAAAATCCTTTCCTGAGATAATTAAAAGCAGCATTATTAGAAGCACCAAACATGTTTAATTATTTACTGAAAAATAAAGTTTCATCAAAATCTGCCAAACATCAGTATTAAAATCTGAAATTCCAACTAAAATGATACAATTATGAATCAGTGTTTAAATTAGGAATTGGATGGATGAATTCAATAACCCGGAAAATGGTATTTATATCAATTAAATAGAATGCCCTCCATTGGTAAACCCGCCTACTCACTAAATAGATATTGTTTTATTAAACTACAACCAACCCTAAAGATGAATATAGTCATGTTTTTCTATACACTTGATTACATGTCAAAAATATTTATTACATGCTTTTCGATGGTTTATAGAAATATATCAGTGAATTAAAACTGATAATTTCACTAAGTACGTTGTTTCAGTGAAATACCAGCGTACACAGAACTGGAAACCAACTTAATAACATGACGTCGTAAATGACGTCACGTTGTATAATTATTTGGCGCGCTATTAATTTATTATTAGGTAAAAATGTCCTTTTTAACGTTTGATTGCATGTAATAAAAAGAAAATTTGTTTAGTGTAGTGTAAGATCGAAATATATTTCACCTCGTGAACACCAAAAGTTCACATTTCACTCGTGGCTGCGCCACTCGTGAAATAAACCTTTTGGTGCTCACTCGGTGAAATATATTCCGATCTTACACTGAACTTAACAAATATCCTCTATATAATGTAATTTATTATGTAAATGATCATAATGGTATAATAGATATAATCATGAGGTTTAAGCTAATAATTTTATAGAGGTTAATACTTGGTTGATGTTTGCCATTATGCGAAATAATGGTCCAAAGATGTACATAATAGCCTGTGATTATTAACACAAACCCTCATAAGGTCACAATCATGTTTCATCCCTTTTTAAAGAAAGAGATTGTGGTTACAAACTGTTTTATGTCTCAGATATTTAGGGCTCAAAACTGGTTAAAAGCTAATAATTTTAGATTCTTTATCCATATGACCAAAGCTCTACACAGGAATGGGCTCAAGAGAGTTTTTAACAAAAAGCACAAAATGTATAAATAAAAATTAATTAATAAGGACAAGATATCAAAAGATAACTTTAAGCCCTTTCAAAACAAGTCCTTCAAATTTGATAAGTCATATTTTTGGAATGGCCTATTGACTATTGTATACTCCATGCCTTCTGAGAGGCACTCTCTTATCTACTATACAGTCCTTTGACTAATATAAAGTGAGAAGATCAAGTATTGCAGAACAATTCTTTTTAATAACAATACCAATGATCATGTCCAGAACCATTTTCCTACCTTAGGCTGTCTTATTGCTGTGTTAGAAAGGCTTCATTTGGCAGTTATGATATGTACGCTGGTATATATTGAAAAAGCCATGTGAACATTTTCACAAACAAAATATACAAAGGCTTGTTTCTATGTGAAATTCTTAAACATCACAGTGAAAAAATACAATATGTTTTATTTTGTTAGTGAATATAGTGAAGAATGTGAAGAAAAAATATTCAAGGGAGATAATTATTGTACATATATATGTAAGAATACTCAAGGGAGATAATCTATATAGACCTTAGCATATTCTCATCAATACTACATCTCCTTTTCCTGCTCACTTGCAGCAACCTGTGGAAACAGTTACAGGTGATTTAAAGAATATTTCTGATAAATATTTCAAATCATATTTTTGTGCCAAATGTATTTTTAGAATAAGATTCCACATTGTTTGTAAAAACATATGGTCCTAAACATTATGATTAAACAAGAAAGCATACTAAATGATCTTGAATGAGCCCATATCACAATTTAAAAATCTTACCCCAGTAATATTAAAGTTAATCAATTTGTTGTCTAATTTCCTCCCTGACTAAACAATGTCAGTGGTCAAGAATATATCTTATTTCTTTGATATCACTTGTCGAAAATAAAAACAGAAAAGACTAAATGGATGAAGTGTATGTTACCTTTCACTTTCAATGTTAATTATTTTTATGAAAATAAAATATTGAATTAAGACAGATAAGTTTTTGGTCACCCCTAAATATGAACCAGAGCATCAGTAATTATGAAAAGTAAAACTAAAACAAAACAAAAAACTGTCATGCTATTTATTTATTCAGGACATGCAGTTATTTGTTAATGAAATACATGTACACTGTACACATAATAAATGTACAAAAATTAGTTACATTATACATCACAAGTACATTATCGTTATCTTAGTGCAGTAATGTGTTAACTCCTATAAAATTATATAAGGAGTTCACCTGATACTGCACTTAGGTGACAATATTACAATTACGTTATTAAAAAAAAAGCACATCAACCCCTCACCGATGGATATATTCCATTTCAGGCGGGTTAAAAATCACACGCGGTTTAATTCCCGCCCCGTCACTCAACTCTAAATTTTTATTCAACTTCTTTGCATACCCCTCTAAAAGCCCTTTTAAAAAAGGGAAAAATTTTTTGCCTTTTTTAAAAAAAAATTTTAAAAAAAATATTTTTATTTTTCAATTTTTTTTAAATTTTTAATTAAAAAAAATATCAGTATAAAATTTTTGTAAATTTCTGAAAAAGTTTTTTTAGGACTTTTGAAAGTTTTTCCTTACAAAAAGGGCTGATATGCAAAGCTATAAATTTTCATATTTTCCCAAAAATCCCAAGTGTGGGTGAAAAGGTCCATTCACTGAACTTTGCCCAAACCTAAAATTTTTGGATGAATAGGTTCAAACCCTGGTCAGGGGCAAGCGGTTGTTTCGTTGAGCAAGAAACTTAGTTCCAAGAACGAATTCAAGAGGGTTCATATACGCTTCTATCGAACTAAAATAAATTTGTATATACTAATCTTTCACAAAGCTTTACAAAAGAAATTATTATTACATAAAAACATCTTTTTGCACATTATAAAATTATAATTACAAATATATGAGTTTTAGGTCCAATATTGTTTTCATATTTATTCCTTTAAAATGTCTTTAGAAACAATTAACAAAAAAGACTACTTTTTGGTAACTATTGAATTTATAATTATAAACTAGAAATGTGTCGTCATGCCATGTATGCCCCCGCATGCAGCCAAAATTTCATATGTTATCATATTTAGTTCCAAATTTGTTTGCACAACATTCAAGAGAAATAACTTTGCCAAAATAATTGAACTGCGACCAAATTCAAACCTGAACTGCTTATTCCTAAGAGGTATCTATATGTCAAATTTGAGTTGAATGTTGTACAACCATTGGGGAGATAATGAATGGAAACTTAATATTTCTGATTTTTTTTTTCAAAGTTCAAGAGGGATAACTCTGTCAGCTATCATCCAACCATGACCAAATTCGAAATTGACCAATGCATTCTTATGACATATCCAAATCTTTAATTTAAGTTGAATATGTACAACTGTTGGGGAGATAATGAATGGAATCTGAAAATTTCCTTTTTTTCAAAGTCCAAGTGGCATAACTCTGCCAAAAATCATTGAACCATGAGCAAATTCAAAGTTGACCTGCCCATTTCTTTGACGTATCCATATGTCAAATTTGAGTTGAATGTGTAAAACTGTAGAGGAGATAATGAACGGAAACTGAAAATTTCATATTATTTTCAAAGTGAAAGGGACATAACTCTGCAAAAAATCATTGAACCATAACCAAATTCGAACTTGACCTGCACATTTCTTTTGACGTATTCATTTGTAAGGTTTGAGTTGAATATGTAATACCGTTGGGGAGATAATGAACGGAAACTGAAAATTTCATATTATTTTCAAAGTAAAAGGGGCATAACTCTGCCCAAAATCATCAAACCATGACCAAATTCACACTTGACCAGTATTTTCTCACGACATATGCATGTGTCAAGTTTGAGTTGAATGTGTAATACCGTTAGGGTGATAATGAACGGAAACTGAAAATTTCATATTATTTTCAAAGTAAAAGGGGCATAACTCTGCCAAAAATCATGGAACCATGATCAAATTCGAACTTTGGCCTATATTTTCTCATGACATATCCATATGTCAAGTTTGAGTTGAATGTGTAATACTGTTGGGGAGATAATGAACGGAAACTGAAAATTTCATATTATTTTCAAAGTAAAAGGGGCATAACTCTGCCAAAAATCATTAAACCATAACCAAATTCAAACTTGACCTGTATTTTCTCACGCCATATGCACGTGTCAAGTTTGAGTTGAATGTGTAATACCGTTGGGGAGATAATGAACAGAAACTGAAAATTTCATATTATTTTCAAAGTAAAAGGGGCATAACTCTGCCAAAAATCAACAAACCATGACCAAATTCAAACTTGACCTGTATTTTCTCATGACATATCCATATGTCAAATTTGAGTTGAATGTGTGCAACCGTTACTTAGATAATGAACGGAAACTGATGATGATGGAATGACAGAAGGATGGAATGACGGAACAGGGTAACACTATATGCCCCAGCCATTATATGGCGGGGGCATAAAAATTATCTAAAATAAAAACATCATGTTTTAGCTACAAACCCATGAGTTATTGACTATTGCCATAAAATGGGTAGTTCATGAATTTGTCAGTAATTATCACATCTGAATGGAACATGAATGAAGATCTTTTTCTCTATAAAATATTTAATGTGCATTTGCATGTGTATATGTAAAACATTTCTTGATATTTTTTCTTACCTATTCCTAACTTGGTAAAAATCCAACTGAAAAAGACCAAAACAAGCCAATTACAAATAATGCAACATTTAGTCAGTTACAATAAAGATATTTTTATTCGATTTAGTATTAACTCTTTCCATGCTGAATATTTAAAATTGACTTATCTATCTTTAAACCTGAACAACTTTCAATCTGAACAAAAGCATTCATCATTTTTGAGGAAATTTTCTGAATAGGGAGCAGTGCAGACCATGTTGAAGGCACTGATGTGCTGATTTTGGTCTGCACTGGTCACGTGTAGAATTGATGTTAGCCGTGGTTGCTGTGCAACTTCATGGAATTAGGCTATAAATGCTTCTGTGGGCTACAAATGCAAACTAAAACCTCTGTTACAGTTCATCATCAAATAAATTTGCTTACAAAGCATAATAAATTAATAACCTGAACATGCAGATGGCATTAGCATTTAACTCAGTACTGTATACAAAAGAGTGATTTTTGATACATACCCTATTCCACAGAGTGTTAGCTTGAGTGATAACTTTCCATGACCGACATACGCAAGCACACCTTGCCAGGTCCGCTACATCTACATGCTTAAATATCTGAAATATAAACCGAACAAAATCAGTTAAATTTGTTCTCCAGTAACCATAGACAGGACAACTTGCATTCTTATTTCTTATATTTAAGCCTTAAAGTTCTCTGATAAATGTTTCCCATAAACATGCAATTAAAAGTTACAGGAATTTACAAATCCTTGGTGATAAGGGGGCAAGTGGTTTGAAGTCATCAACATTAACAATCAGGCCATGGATGCCCCATTTTCAGTATGAAAAACCTATACATTGTAATTGTACAGTAGGGGTGTCTACTGTCACTTGTAGCAATTACCATAAAGCACTTTATATCACAATTATATCATGTCATAGATACAGTCAACTATCGTTATCTGGACATCGCTTTTCTCGATATTTCGTTATCTCGATGAAATTTTTAAAATCCCAAATTTCTTCCTTCTTTATCTATATTGGAAATATTTGTTTTTATTATATAATTTTAAATGAAATATTGAGAAATATTGATGAAATAAAATGCGTATTTTCATTGTCCGTATTTTCACTGTAAAAATTTATTTTTCACTGCAGTGAAACATATTTTCCGTATTTTCACTGGTGTCTTGCCGGACTACTTTCTTTTAAATTCTGCCAGCACTCAAAATTTAAGGGAATGTCTTTCAAATTTTAATGTCCAGAAAGAGAAAAATGTATATAATAAACAGAAAATTCAAGTTTTTTCTATAAATACATGATTTATTTTCATCTTGTGGCATGAAAATTACCATATTTCACTCGTGGCTACCGCCACTCATGAAATATTTATTTTCATACCACTCGATGAAAATAAATCATGTATTTATAGAAAAAACTTGAATATCCTCTATATCTCGATATTTTTATTTCATTATTTTCAGTATCTCGATGTAAAATTTCAGTCCCAACAGTTATTTTCACACTATTATCCTTTTGTTTATCTTGACTAATTTTTCTTTTGTCTGTTTCCTTCAGAGGTGTGAAAAACACAAACTAGACGATAATTGCTCAATAGCGCGTGTCATAATGATGATTATGTTTGTAACAAGTTTAGCTGTTTTTATAAAAGTTAATCTTTTTAGCGTGTTAATAGACTTATGTTCAAAATGAGTGAATTTTACGTTCTTTATAAATATTCGAACACTGTATCAATTCATTATGACTTTAAATGTAAATGAAATAGTTAAAGTATAGAAACGCCATCGTTGCAATATTGTTTCACAACATCACCACTAATCAATCAGCGGTCGAACAATCTTGAGAACTGATAAATAACCCAGGAGGATATCCGAATCAACCACCCTGAAAACAATGTTTTCACTATATTGGTGTATTACTGAGTAAACCTCACTATGTGTTTTTATAACAGACACCCGTATTTCCGCTGGTAAACATCCGCTAATGTTACTTTGTTATATATTGACTAGGCCTTATTATGGAAACAAGACATGGGAATATCATAGTTTATTTGACATAAGGTATGCACATGTCTTTTGTGAAATAATAATATGTTTATCTCGACATTTCGTTATCTCGATTTTTTTTTGGACGGTCCCGATGACTTCGAGATAACGAGAGTCGACTGTATATCGACATGATTGTTACCAACCAAGTAACATGATACATGATAATAGTACCTATGAGCTGACCAGTCTTAAAACAATGTACATGCAACTCTTAAAACTATATCATGTAAGCCAATGAAAACTAAGAAAATTAAGCCCTGGTAAGTATACCAAACCAACATATTTTTATTGAACACATTTCTTGTACTTATGTTACATGTATTTTTAAAAAATTTTTACTCCATGGTAAAACTAAATGATTATCAACAAGAACAAAAAGTACCCTAAACATGTTTAAACATGACTAATGTCAACAAATTGGGACAAAAACAAAATGTACATGCTTATATAAATAGTATGAAAGAAAATAAGTTTCTCAAAGTATATTACTATGAACCAATATGTAGAATGTAATGTGAAAACCGTAACAAAACAAAACAGAATAAATAATAAACATAACATCTCATGAAAAATATACCCCTATCACAGCTGTAGTATAATCTGCAGTTTTAAATTCTACGAAGAACTAGTTTGGCAAAAAAGAAAACAAAAATGAATTTTATTTATATTCCTTAATTAAAGGGACTCTATCGAGTTTTAAAAAAAATATTTTTGTTAAGATTTGTGTACCATTTAATTTTTATTTGTTTGATTGAGTTCTATGTCACACTGACATAGTATAGGTCATATGGCGATGTTCCAGCTTTACTGGTGGAGGAAGTACTACCTCAGTTTATTTCAGGCACAAACGGGCACCTGAGTAGAACCACCGACGTTCCATAAGCTTGCTGGATAGCTTCCTCAAAATGAAAGAATCCAAAGTTCCTGTCGGGATTCGAACCCACAGTAGTGAGGACCATTTGATGTAAGTTCTGGACCAATAGCTTGTGTCCATATCTGAGATCATTCCCTTGCCCCATATTTTCAAAGTCATCATTCTGATTGTGAAAAATGACCCAAAAATGAATAGCCTTTTCATACTTTTCAGTCAAATCAGAATCACATAAAATAATTGATATCCAGTTAAATTCTGAGCACATTCCTTTATTTATCCTTTGAAATTTTTTCCATTTTTATTGCTTCACTTGATTTATGCTAGAATTTCTTCTTTGTAAGAGTTTTTTTTACCTCAGTTCTATATATCTCCTTTAATTTTATTATATAACTGACGCATCAAGCAGGTCATATATCACTAATTAAAAATAAAATTATGATATATTTATTAATATAAGACATGTCAAAAAATTAAATAACCCCTAAACCTGCTAAATTTTTTTAATGGATTTGCCCTGCTTTGAATCTGGAAGAGTCCAATCAAAGTTACAGGCATTTCAATATCAAAACTAAAAAAAATTGAGCTACCAAATGTATAAATCCTGGTTGTAATCAGCACAAATGTAGGACAAAACCCCACACATCAAAACCCCACATCTTTTGGCATTTTTGTCCACTCTATAAAATTTAGGTGTGGGATTTTGTCAACTCTATAAAATTTTGAGGTGTGGGGTTTTGATGAGGGGGGTTTTGTCCATCTTCCAATCGGCACAAATGTGCAAGCTTGCCCAGCTTTATACTCAGGTAACAATTAATAGCTTATCAGTCCCAGTTCCAGCAGGTTCTGTAAATTAAGGTAAAACTATTTTAATAGATAATGGTAGAAAGTTAAGAAATATGTTCAAAGTTAATATATATTATGTAATATAAGCCTTTTTAGTGTAACAAACCGGAATACCTGAATAGCGATTTTCCTCGGAAGGGTCGATAAACTATCCCTAGCCTCTCCGGTGCCCTGACCAAAAGAATCTTCATCCTCCATATTTTCTCCACGTTCAAGACGCTACATGTAAAAAAATCAAATTTATGATATAAAACCTGTCGAAACTATTGTTTAATTTCTCATGAACATTTTTATTTCACAAACCTGAACTTGAAATGTGAAAACAAGATATTTAAAACAGATGTTTCATTATATTGAAAAGAAATAAACTACGTTTTTAAGAAAAATCACTGTTTTAAATTATACTTTATAATAGAAAATTTTGTTGTAGGGAAAAGTCGATTATAAATTTGTATCAAAATATTACTTTATAAAAAGATTAAAAGTTGCTTCAATGTATTGTAAAAATAAATTAATTTCTCTTTCAAAATTATGCATGCAAGTTATATTCGAGTACAAAATCACACATCAATAATTTCATATAAATATGTTTGATTATGCTATTCATAGCTACCATTCATAGCTATTATTCATAGCTACATTCATAGCATAAGCCAACCAAGCAAATATGTGTATTATAGTCTATAAATCTCATGCTATCATAGCACACATTAAACATGCATCCAATTACTTCCCTTTAATACATTTAAAAATATCCCACTCTGTGTTACACAAAAGTTAAAAAAGCATGCAAAACATATATTTTTTTGTAAAAAACAAATAAAAACAACATTTAATTCAAAATGCATAAATTTAAATTCTTACCACACCTTACATTATAGTGGAACTCAGATTTACAACAGTTATTCAAATTTTGTGGCAAAAATATCTTAAGTGAAAAGCTTTCCTAATAATAATGGCAATTTTTACTAACAAAATTAATTATTGTTACATGCTTTCAAATATTTTGAATTTCTGTAAACAAAACAAAAATTTAAAAAGAAGTTTTATAACATCCAAACTTTAATTTAATAAGAATTTCCATTAAAATAAAATGTTCTTCGTGTCCTTTAAATTTTCTTTAGACCAATTAAATATTCTTTAGACCAATATAGCACATTCTTTGGTTCAATTTAATTTCTTTAGACCAAATTAATGTTCTTTAATGGTCACTTGTGCTCTGGACTTGCTGGCTTATTACAATATTTCATGAAAAAGACTTATAACACTAAAGATGAGAAGTTAACAGCAAAAAGTAGTAACCAAATAAACCCGAAATTAAGAAATCAAAACTATTTACATCCATGTCCTTACAAAAATAACATACCAAATATAATTATTCCAATTAAACACAAACCCCACTTTAATTAACTTTTTTTATGTAAATTTAGCAATTAGAAAAATTAACTGCTGTTGTCATTAACCAACATAACTGAACATTCAATAAAAAAGAAAAGAAAAACAGTTTTATACCACTGCCATCTGAGAAGTTAAAATAAATTCTGTTATCAAAGTGTATAAAAAAAACTCATAGACCTCCAAAAAATATCTGTTTTCAGTCTCCTCTCCAAACAAAATCAAGTCAATAAGACAAGATATTTTATTTCGTTTGATATGAATGTATTTTCAATGTTTACCCATGGTATTGTGTCTTATCAAAGTCTTCCTTTTGCTATGCTAAATAAAATGAAGTGTCCATAAAATACAAATGCCCTTTGCTCCCAATTTGTTAATTTTGAAAAAAAGCTATTATGAAATTTTAAAAATTTGACCTTGAACACGAAGGTCATTCAGATGTTAAGGCAATATTTTAAAAAATGACACAAAAAAATAACTTTTGCTATGTGAAACAAGATGTGTGGTGTCCATTGTCATTACAAATGCCCCTTGATCCCAATTTGTTCATTTTAAATAAGCAATTTATGAATTCTAAAACTTTTACCTTGAACATGAAAGTCATTCAAGTGTCAAGGTCATATTTTAAAAATTACAAAAAAGCTCCTGTCTGGAGATATAAAAGTGTCACAGTATAATGGTTCCAGCTTATTTAATGGTACATTTTGGCCAAGATTTAGGGTGTCCATCAAGACTCAGACAGCCAAAAGACAGGACAAAACGATATGCCCCTGACCTGTCAAATGATGTCAGGGGTGTGGGGAGTGCATAAAAAATCAGATCAGCCTTAAGATGCATATATGCATATAAAATGTTGGACTGAAGACTGAAAACAAATGTTTCTTTATTGGTCTTAATGCAAATAAATAGTAGATCTTACATAAGCAATCATAGACAATATTTCTGCCAATTTCTATCATTAAGTAGCAACAGTGGAGTGTAAATTTAGATTTATACCCCATTATGTAAATATTAACAATGGATTTATTTCCTTTTTGCTTCATTCCAGTGTTTATTAGTTTTCTTATCTGTTTATTTATGATGGTTAACGTTTGCGTAAAAAACAAGAGGCAACAATAAACTGAAGTTTAAATTGGCCATTGTTTGCTTTAAGATCATTTTGACAATGGCATTAAACTTAATATGTTGGCTATATTCTCCACAGTCCATCTATGACAGGCATGTGGAAAAATCATTATAAAAACTTCAGTAAGGAATGCAATAATGCTCCTGTAATACAAAGACAATTCATTTTTTAATATAATCTAAATTAAGGATGCATCAGTTATAGCCAAAATTCATGATTTGTGATAATCATGCAACTTGTTGTACTGTGAGCACTTTAACCAATTTCATGCTTAAATTTTGTAAAAATTGACCAATCTTGTTTGAAATTTGGAACAGTCCATTCATAGATTGAAGGGTTTAATTAAGTATTAAAATACTAAAAAATTGACCTGCCAGCAGTACAGATCTGGTTTGGTGACTAAAGTGCATGGATTATCCATGCAGGCTATAATCCATGCAGGCTCAGTCTCAGATGGATAGTCATAATTACAGGGGGAAAAGGTCTTTTATTGTTACATCTAGAGCTTTAACAGTAAACATTAACTTTGTGACTCAATCCTGAATTAACTGGCCAAAGTCCTAAATATCTTATTATTACTGCTACTGAATGCCTTGAAAACATTATAACACCCAAAAGTACTGGCTAAAACACCCAGCAGAAATGGCTAACTGGCTAAAACACATAACATGATTTTGAGAAGAGAAAAGGCCAAAGTCCTAAATATGTTATTCTCACTGCTACTGAATGCCTTGAACACATTATAAAACACCCAAAAGTACTGGCTAAAACACCCAGCAGAAATGGCTAACTGGCTAAAACACATAACATGATTTTGAGAAGAGAAAATTTTTAATGTTTATCCATAAAAATATTGCATTTTACATCCATCTACTATATTGAAGCTCAGCATTATACTGAAGACTCCAAGATTAAATTCTTGCATAGCCAATATCATACTTGCCATTGGGTGCAACAATTTAGCCATTACCAATAACAACAATAATTTAGCTTTATTATCATACTTAGAAAGCATTAACATAATGATTAACAAGTGCTGCACTGATAATTTAGCCATTATCATACTTGCCAAGAGATTGGATAATTTAGCCATTATCACACTTGCAAAGCAATGACATAATTTAGTCATTATACTTGCCAAGAGACGGGATAATTTAGCCATTATCATACTTGCAAAGCAATGACATAATTTAGCCATTATCTCACTTGAAAAACAATGACATAACTTAGTCATTATCATACTTGCCAAGAGATGGGATAATTTAGCCATTATCACACTTGCCAACAGATGGGATAATATTGCCATTATCACACTTTCAAAGCAATGTGATAATAAAGCCAATATCATACTTGTAGAAGAAATGAGACAATTAAGCCATTGAGGTAGTTTTAAGCCATTATCATAATTGACAAGGGATGTGATAATTTTCTATGGGGTGAGTTACAGTAATATGAACAACAATAATACTTGTTTATCTACAGATTATGCCACAATTTAAGTTATTATAAAGGCAGTGAAAAGCATGCTGGCCACAATCATATACTAGTAATACTTGTGATATATGTAAATTTAATGATTATATAACTTGTATAAGAAAAATACCTGTCATCCAAACTATACCACTCAATTAAATCTATATTTTTTCATCATTCGATCAATTTGTTTGCATTTTTACATATCAAAAACCACTACTAGTAGGCCACTTTTTATTTAACATATTGTTAAGCATTAGCCACTGATATAGATCCATAAATCCTTGCACTTTTCCATAGAATATAGTCATCCAAAGTACAGCAGTGTAAAAGTTGGTGATGGTGTTGGTATTTTAACTCTGAATCTACCAGAGCACAGTTCAGTAACTGCCTAGCTCCTGGTCAGGCTGTCAAGCAGTTTACCTGTACCAGTTGCCTTGACTTTCACAAGGTACTATTAACTTCTATACATGCCTGAGCAGATGTACAGTACGAATAACCAAATAACCGAAGGAAGAATTTCATGAACAATCACAACAAAAGTGCCCTAAATGGCAGAGCCTGAGATTACTTTGCTGATCCAAGGTTTAAACAACAAATTCTGAGATCAAACTATTGTATTAAGAGATAAAATGGTAGATTTGACCCAGAGAACAAATAACATCAATTTCAAGGCAATGAAGGAATATAATGAGATTCTGTTGGAGATCTATGGATCTAAATTAGCAGAGTTTCAGGGATCTTGAGATTCAAAAATTAAATGGCAGAACCTGTAAACAAATGGCAGATGTAGTGGTCAAATTGGAGTTCTGAAGATCAAATGGGAGTTCTGGAGATCAAATGGGAGACCTGGATATCAAAGGGGAGACCTGGATATAAAAGGGGAGACCTGGATATCAAAGGGGAGACCTGGAGATCAAATGGGAGACCTGGATATCAAAGGGGAGACCTGGAGATCAAAGGGGAACCCTGGAGATCAAATGGGGGACCTGGAGATCAAATGGGAGACCTGGATATCAAAGGGGAGACCTGGATATCAAATGGGAGTCCTGGAGATCAAAGGGGAACCCTGGAGCTCAAATGGGAGACCTGGAGATCAAATGGGAGACCTGGAGATCAAATGGGAGACCTGGAGATCAAATGGGAGACCTGGATATCAAAGGGGAGACCTGGATATCAAAGGGGAGACCTGGATATCAAAGGGGAGACCTGGAGATCAAATGGG